GAGTCTGGAGGAAATGGTGGAGGAGAAGCTGAAGGCTAAACAAGCTCTCACATAGAAAGCAGTATAAATACATACATACATACATATATATATATAAAATATATATATATATATATATATTGGAATTCAATGCCTCTATCAGAAAGAATGACATTTCCCCATTTGTTAGGAAATGAAAATACTTGGAAAAAATTAAATTAAGTGGAGTAAACCAGGCCCAAAGAAACATAGGTTTCATGGTTTCCCTTATTTGCAATAACTAGTGTATCTCTGGGACAAGCAGAAAAGGTCAAAAGCTATATAAATATGACCAGACACGACGATGTTAAGCAAAATTAACCCCAAAATAGAGACACAAGTGGTTTTTTCTTTCTTGCTATTGTTTCTAACGTATTTATAATGTACAATATGATTTTTTTGTTTCTTTGTATGTTCCTCCCCCATGGTATAACTCCTGTTTTCACTGTATTTTATTTCGGTGCCCTTGATCTTGTATATACACTTCTCTAATTTGGGGAGGGGAAGGGAAAAAACAAAATGCTTAAATGGGGATACAGGTTGACTCATTGTAACAATGAGATATATAAGACACTATGTTGAAAAATGAACTTTACAATTTAGGTGTGTGGGGTGGGGGTGAGAGTATAGTTGTGGAGGTGGGAGGGAAGGGATGGTAGGGGAAAAACAAAGGAGGAGGTAACAATGCTTGATAGGAAATGTACTCATGACCTTATTCATGTAACTGTAACCCCTCTGTACAGTATTTTCACAATAAAAAAACATAATTAAAAAAAACTTTAATGACATATTTCTGAACATTTATCAGAGTAGATAAACTGAGGGCTGATACAACTCAGTTGCAATGTGTGTGTTCAGTATTCATGAGGCCCTGTGTCCGGTCCCAGCATGAAAAAAGGAAATTGAGAAAATGAAAGATAAAAATAGAGGTAATGGTAGGGAGGGGAAGAGAAAGAAGGAGAAAGAGAAGGAGGGAGGGAGATGCCAAGTGTTAGACAGAATGGAAAAGAACATGATAGAATTTGAACTCTCATATGCTAGTGGTAGAAATGCAAATTGTACAATCACTTTGGAAAATTCAAAGGACTACAAACTTAACATTTATGTGCTATTTAAATATATACTTAACATTTACATATAAATATATCTCAATATCTCATTAATACCTTTCATGTATATGAAATCTGAGCTGGACACCAGTGCTTCCTGCCTGCAATCCTAGCTAATTAGAAGGCTAAGACATGAGGATCATAGTTCAAACCCAGCCTGGGCAGGAAAATCCATGAGATTCTTATCTCCAATTAACTAACAAAAAGCTGGGAGTGGAGTCATTGCTTAAGTGGTAAAGTGCTAGTCTTGAGCAAAAGAGCCAGGAACAGTGCCTAGGCCCTGAGTTCAAGCCCCAAGATCAGCACATACACACACAAAAAAGAAACCTGAAAATACATGAATGTTCATTAACCAAAAATAAGTGTAATTTAGGCACACCATGTATAACTACACAGCAGTGAAAATGAGCCAACTATAGCTAACCACCACAACAGATGTCTTCAATAGCAGTTTCCATTAGGGATCTGGGTTGTGAGTCAAGGAGGAATATATTGTCATGCTCACTGTGCTATATTTATGATATGTGTTCTTTGCAGTATTTCTGTTGTAGTTCAATCCAAGATTTACTTTAATGCTAGGCACAGGACATGCCACAGAATGGATGAAATTGATTAGGTTATAGTCTTAATATGAATTGAAATGTAACAATAAAATTCCCTTCCCTTGTATAACTGATATAATCCAATAAAAACAATTAAGATTTACTTTAAAGAAATGAGAAACATTCCCATAGCCTGCTTGAAAAGCACATTCCTTGGTAACAAAAATCTGAGTATTTACATAAGGAACACAATAAATGCATTGTAAGTCAGTAGTAAGCATCTGTGAAGTCCCCGCTATGTGTCAAGAAGAACATTAGCTCTGGTAATATAAGAAATTGACAATGAGCTCCTCATGGAGCTCAATATTAAAATTTTCAAAAAGGAAGAAAAGAATGAAGGAATGGAAAGAAGAAAGGAGGATATAGATTGGGCCTAAAATGTTAAAAAGAATAAAATTTTTCATAGCAGCACAAACAAGTGTGGACCTTTCACAAGGAATTTGGCACCATAAACCATTATCCTCAAAAATATCCATCTGGTCAATGAATTATTAAAGATAGGACACAAATTGTATACTACTATAACAACTATGTAGGAAAACATCACATGTGCTGAAAAGTTAGAGAGAGAAAGAAATCAAATTGTATTTAGTTCAACCTTTGCAAACATTTTTTAACGAAGTCATATTGTGAAAAGCCTGGAAGTGGTGCTGTGGCTCAAGTGAAAGAGCACCTAGCCTAGCACTAGCAAAGAGGCTCAGGGACAATGCTCAGGCCCTGAGTTAAAACCCCACAATTGACATAGATAAATAAATAAGATCTTGAACTTTATAGCAGCCTAATCATTATCCCTACATAGTTGTGAATAACTATTCTTCACTGAAAGATCTCAAAGTAAATACATAATACAGGATTTTTTGCAAGATGATTTTTAAAACTGCGCACTTTTTCTTAGAGATTTGTTTGGTCATAAAATGCCTAAAGGCAAAGATAAAGAAAGGAAAGGCTTTCCAGCAAACTTACTATAACTCCATTTTCTTTTAAGCTTATTGCTAAAGCTCCATTATGAAATCAAAGATACATTCACTTGAAAAGATAAAAGGGCATCTCAGTGAAAAGAAACCAGACATAAAAAAGGAAGGGCGCTTCTGGATGCATTTTTTAAACAAAATAAACACTAATGATAATACTAAAAGTATGTGTAACACTATCCTTAAAATAAAAACAAGCCATTATAACTAAAGTGAGGAAGAATATCATTTTCCCTCAAATTCTTGAAGGAAACCTATGCTAGACTGAATACAGAAAAGAAAAGCACTATGGAAGAGCAAGAAAAGTAAGGAGAGCCCAGAAGAGAAGAATAGAGAGCCCAGCCCATACTGGGCAAGAGTTCACATACCTGTAATCCCAACTACACAGGACTCTGAGATCTGAGGATCAAAGGCAGCCTATTCAGAAAAGTCTGCAAGGGTCTTACCTCCAATTAGTCCATGCCAGTCTTGAATGATAAAGCCTAGTAAGCGCTTGAGGCCCTGAGCTCAAATCCCAGAACTGACATACACATATGTCACATACAGACAAGCGCGTGCACACACATGCACAGAAGGAGGAGGTGCAGGAAAAGGAAGAAAGAAGAGGAGGAAATGAGAAAGGAGGAATAAAAGGAAGAAGAAAGGGCTGGGAAGGTAGCTCAGTGGTAGAGCGCTTGCCTTGCATGCATGAGGTCCTGGGTTCGATTCCTCAGCAAACATAAGCAGAAAAAAAAAGCTGGAAGTGGTGCTGTGGCTCAAGTGGAAGAGCGCTAGCCTTGAGCTGAAGAGCTGAGGGACAGTGCTCAGGCCCACAGTTCAGGCCCCACGACCAGACCCCACCCCCCCGCAAAAAAAAGGAAGGAAGAAGAAAGAGGACAGGAGGAGGAAGCCGAAGCAGCAGGCTGGAAAAGGGTCAAAAGGGTCTAGCACTGAAGTAAACTTGGCTGTGAATGGACCAAAGCACAAGAGGAAGACAGCGTCTACCAGACCATCACAAACATTCTGAAGCTCAAGGAACAAATCAAAAATCCAGACTGAACTTCCCCAAATGATGAGATAAAGAACTAGACAGGTGACTCTCCCACCAAGACTGTAGACTGGATCTATTTTTATCTCTCTCCAGCATCACCCAGTGGTCCACAGACGGGAGAAGAAAAGGCTAGTGGTTGGAATGGTGATATTCTCATGGACTGTGGTGTTAGAAAAGGGACTAAGGCAGGCAGAATGGACAGATCAAAGTGAGGGCATAGGCCACACTGGAAAGGTACAGGTGAAGGAGCGGCTCACACAAAAACAAGAGAATAAGAGCATGAAAGTCCAGGAATACAGCGGGGTGTCACCAGAGAGTGACATAATACAATTAGATTCTAGGGACAAATCAACGAGTGTGTCGCCACAGTCCAAGGCTTTACCTGAGGATTAGGTGGCTGGGTTGTGACAGTTATTACGGTAGAAAAAGAAAAAATTAAATAAAAACTTATACAGCTCAGGGTAGAGCAGTGAATGAAGTTTTCTGAGCTACAAACAGCTTTTCTGGAAGAGGAAACTGTGAGCCAGGTTTCAGAGCACTTGATAAAGCAGGTAACGGACTATGAAATCACAAAGAAAGCAGGGAAAACGGCGTGCAGTGGGGTGCAGGGAGAAGCTTCAAAGAAAAAGACTTTGCAAACAAAAAGACACCTAAAGGATTTCATTACAAAATCCGTCCTTTAATAAAAAATACTAACTCTACAGACATATAGGTAGAGTCTCAGAAAAAAACTGTAACATGATTAAGATATTATTTTTAAAAGCTAAATTACATATACATTCACTTACATCTTTTAACTTGAGGGGAGAACAAATTATTACACATCTGTTTTCACTTCAAAAACACGTATGTCAAATTAAAAATAAATCACCCCAAATCCTACCACTTTAATACAATTATTAGTGAAATAATTTTTAGCATAGTCATATTTATGTAAACCTTTATACTAATAGATTTCTAATTAGCCACACGTGACTTTTTAAGCCACAGGCACTTTTCTGTGTTGAACCCATGTAAGAAATTTTGTCAAGTTTTTCAAATTTGTATTTTGAAATATAGCCATGCTTCCACAGCTCCTCCAATTCAGAGCTATGATGAATTATGCAGATATAAGTCAGCATGTAAAGTTTTTATATTCCTATGTGTAACCTGAGAAGTAGATAATTAACAGCGTCCAAGGTGGGAAAACTACTCAAAAGATTAAAAGGAGAAATGGCAGGCTTATGTTCAGATGCACGCTCACCAGGTCACTGACAAGAAAAAAATTTACCTGGAAGAAATCTTACAAACCGTGGCATGAAATGAAATCTTGGGCAGCATGGAGGGCTGTCTTCAAACAAAGGACCTAAAGCAAACAAGGAAAAAAGGAAGGGGAAAAAAAAAAAAGAAATCAGACAGCCTTAGGAAACAAAACACTACAACTTAATTCCTAAGATTTATGGTAACCACGAGAAACACCACCAGAAGTAAAGACATAAAAAAAAACACCACTGTCCCCGCACTGATGCCTAATAGCTCAATCATTAATCGGTACCTGCCACAAGCAGCCAGATACCTGCAATGAGGAAGGCACGCAAGGCCACAGGGAGAATGAAAGCCCCAAGGAGCAAATATACACAGTAAAGTTGGTTTGACAGTAGGTGTGCGTGCGAGTGTGCCTGTGTGTGTGTGTGTAGGCATGCACCAGTAATGGTGCTTGAACAGAGCCTTGTACTCTCACTTGGCTTGTTTGTTCAAGGTTGGCATTCTACCACTTGAGCCACACCTCCACTTTTAAAAGTTACATCTGAAAATTTAAAAGCATCCAGATTTTTGTTATAACTGGACTGCAACATGATGTAATATGCTTATTTCCTTCACATTTTAATCAACACACTCTAAAAACCTGAGCAAGCTGGGAGCCAGTGGCTCACGCCCCTAATCCTAGCTAATCAGGAGGCTGAGATCTGAAGCCAATACCAGGCCCCAGGCAGGGAAGTATGTGAGGCTCTTTTGTTTTTTAATATATTTTATTGTAAAGATACTGTACAGACGGGTTACAGTTACATGAGCAAGGTAATGAGTACATTTCCTATGGAGCATTGTTAACCCCTCTTTTGTTTTTCCCCCACCATCCCTTCCTTCCCCACCTCCCCAACTCCTTCCTCCCCTCCCCCAAGTTGTAAAGTTCGTTTTCAATATAGTGTCTGATACATCTCATTGTTACAATGGGTCAACCTGTATCCTTGTTTCAGCATTTTATTATTTCCCTTCCCCTTCCCAAATTAGAAAAATGTATATACAAGATGCAGGGCACCAAAACAAGTCAGATATGGAGCTGTGATTCAAGTGACAGAGTGCCAGCCTTGAGCAAAAGAACCTCAGGGACAGCACTCAAGCCCTGAGTTCAAAGCCCCAGGACCAAGACAAAAAAATAAACCTGAGCAATACTACTGTTTTTAAAAAACACTCATCAATAGACTTGGTTTGAAAACGCATACATTCAATGCATTCATTTTAAACTTGGTTGAAATGTCTTTTACAAATACACTGCATCAAATATACACAAGTAAACATTTGCTGTATGTACATTTCCAAAAGAGGCACTTCCAAAAATGGCCATCAGGCCTTTGATTCTATCTAGACCACTATATATATACATGTGTGTGGAAATGTATGTGTGCTCCTAATTGAAGTTCTGTTGTAGTAAACTGATATTTTAGGAGTTTTATGACAGTAAAGTTGAATAGGTTAAAATATGAAATGAGACTTCCCCTAATGCACAGAAATCAAAGTAGTTACTCCTAACAACTTGACTGTCTTCCTGGCTAATAATGGGCATTGTCAAATTCTATGAAGTAAAATCCATGAAAGTTTATTGATGTCAATGATAGCAGGTATGCTAATGAATAACACTTTATCCTGGGTATTTCAAAGTAAGAAAAATTACAACTACGCCCTGCCCACATTATAAGAACTTCACAGATAGCACCATGCTAAAAGCTAAAAGCACCAGGCTTTTCTTTAAAGCCTATTATTTACCTTTCAGATTCCAGTCATATAATTCCAAAATATCTCTGAATAGGAACAGTGAAAAGAGTTCAAGCCCTTTCACACAAAAATTCTGAAAAACAAACCAAAATTAAATTACTATATATCTGCAGGTATAGACAAACTTGCTCTCGTCAGATATCTGAAAAAATATCCATTGAAACTATGCTAAAAACATAGAATTTCCTAAAAAGTTTGCCCACTGTCCTATAACAGCCCACGTGTTTTATACAGAAATGAAGTAGACAATAATAACACTATTTCTATAAAAATGTCACTTCAGCCCTTTTCAGTGATGTTAAATTTAAAAAGTCAAGTCTCACTTACATCATGCTTTCTAACCCAATTATAAGACCTATTAGTAAGAGTCTCTTGAGGATTTTTGCTAATTCAAATTACACATACACCTGCAGGCCTATCAGCTTAGCCCAACTCCTCAATGCAGAATCAATCTTGTTAACCAAGTAACCCAAAAGCAAAAGTCCTTTAAACCATAAAGTTCAAACTTTACACCAAGGCAAATAAAGAGTTAAGAGAAACTACAAATTTTGTTCCAAAATTTCTTCTGTAAACAAGCTAAACAGATGATATATTTGCAACTGACTGTTGTCTCATAATTCTTACTCCTACTTGTTTTGCTCTGGGTTCATAAATCACTCTGCATGAGATCATGTCAAAAGTCATAAACTTTTATAATAGTAAATGAAGGCTGATGACCTTAAAAGTCAAACAGAAGCCAAAAAACCCTTTTAACCAGGAAATAAAAGGATGGCCCAGCCTCGAATTCTAGTGAATGTCAGGTAGAATGCATAAGGACTTACCCAAAATGAAAGACAAACCAACTTAGCATACATGGCATACCCATCAATTTCTCCTTGGTGCGCTTTGCCCCTCACAGACCTTTCCAGCTAAACAACTTGCAAGAAGAGTCAATGGGCTCTAGAAATTGATCCCAACTTTAACATAATGTTAGGCGCACAAGCCTGTCTGCTTAGTTGTTATTTCCTGGTGTGATTTGTTGACACCACTAAATTCAAGATCAGGCAATGAATCATTCTGATATTCACATTAATCTTGCTTGGGAATTTTCAATCTCTTGCATATATTTAGATAAATCTGCTACTTAGCATCCGCAATGAAAAACAATTAGGAAAAATATGTAAATATATGAGAAGAAAAATGACCCAAGCATTGATCTTGTTACTGGAGATAATGAATCAGATTACTCCAACAGCTATCAAATTCAGTTTCACCATCCCAATTTCCTCTCTGATAAAGGCCAGGAACCAAAATCTGTCCCCTAAGCAAAACAAACCAGAAACAGATGTAAAGTTACTATCAGCAGATGCAAGGCGAGCAGAAACAGGTTCAAAAACAGGTCAATGAGCTTAAAAATGACCCAAATTTTAACCTTGATACTAGAGTTCTATCTCGGTGACATTTTCAAACAGTGAACAGGGTATTTTAGAGGTCTCCTGGGGCAAAAAGCCAGAGTTAACCAAGTTCAATTTTTTTTTAAAGTGTGGAATAAACAAAAGAGCAAACTACATCAAGCTATTCAACGTTTTTTTCCCCTTACCTCAGGCATCATCTCTTCAATGAAATGAATGGTGTAGTCTATGTTGAATCTAATTACTTTACACAGAGGAATCTGCAATAAGAAGAAGGAAAGTTCAGTTCCTTAGTATCTCCCTGCAGGCTTATAGTGCACTTGTTTGCTACCTGACCCAGAAAGCCTTGAACTGAAATGAGAAGGTTTCACCTTTATCTAAGCATCTAACAACATCGCACATGAAAGCTTGACCACAGCTGCTGGATTTTAATGTGAAGAACCCAGCTGGCCAGGCCACTACAGGAAACCTGCCTAATGTTGATACTTAATTAAAGGTATTAGCAGCTGCAACACAAACATAACAAAAACCCATTACAAGCAGACATACTGCCTCTAAAAATTTAATAAAACCGGAATCATAAACATTTCCCCTCCCCCCAAAAGCTTTTTTAGCTTTTACAGAATGTTGGCTCTTCAGGCAGATGATGGATAACATAGCTTATCAGTAACAGATGCATAGGTCAGTGAAGGGCACATAATCACACCACCTATCTGGCTCTGGGGCAAAAGCAACTGTGCTCAAAAGTATAATAATAATAAATTATAATAAAAATAATAATATCTAGTGTATCTGGGGCCAGACACGGTTGTAATGCTTCACAATATTTACTCCTATACCCATCACAGCATCCCTAAGAACAGGTTTCATTGTTATTATTTCCATAATTTTCCACTGTACAATTATGTCTGTTGTCTGGTAGAAAAAAACAGGCAGAGAGTAATTAGGTACCTTGCTTAAGGAAATAGGCAGCCGGTAAGCTAGAAATTCTTGTGCTAGAACCCAATGTGTGTGTGTGAGTGTGTGTGTGTGTGTGTGTGTGTGTGTGTGTGTGTGTGTGTGTGTGTGTGTGTGTGTGTGTGTGTGTGTGTGTGTGTGTGTGTGCGCGCGCGCACATGTGCACTACCAGGGCTTGAACTGAGGACATGGGCACCATCCCTCACTTTTTCACTAAAGGTTAGCATGCTACCACTTGAGCTACAACTCTACTTTTGGCTTTTTGGTGGTTAATTGGTGATAAGAGTCTCATAACTTTCCTGCGCAAACTGGCTTCCAATGGGATCCTGAGTATCTAGGAATATAGGCATGAGCCACTAGTACCCAGTGACCTCAGCTTTTAACTTCTAGAGTATACACCTCTCGTTACCTGTTCTAATACTCAATGTATACGAAATGAAGGAAAGCTCAGTTCAAATTAAAAAGTCTCTTCTTACCAATGTATCATCAGACATGAGCCTTGTATCAAGACACTCGTTTTCCATAATATGATTGAATGAATGAAAGAATGAGAAAGAGAGGAAAGAGGTTACTACAGTGGCTAGCTGGTTAGTTATCACAGTAATAATTATGCCTAGAGGTCCCAGAGACGTGTTATGTGGGATGTTCTGGCTGCATAATCTGTCCATAAAGCATTGTAACAATTTTTACAAACCACAACCATCAGAAATAAATGTTAATTCTCACTGCATAAGGGATGGAAATAGTCTTATAATGCCATCTACTGGAAACTTGGTTAAGATAACAGTTGCTATCTCACTTCTGTTACAATTAACTTGAATAAAGAAATTCATTCTCAACCTTAAATCCAAAATCGAAACCAACCAGAGCAACATGCAAAGCCACTAATACTTTTAAAATCTGTAAAAATAAAATAAAAAATAAAAATCAGAGTTACAATTTTGTACATGATATGTGATTTTAAAATACCAGTTATTTGCTAACAATTATGTAAAATTCATAATGACTCTAAAACAAGTCAGAAACCCTGCCTTGATAGGGAAAGATTCAGAGCCTGATATGCTGGTGCAGTATCTATGATCCCAGTACTCAGGAAGCTCAGGAAGGAGGATCACAAGTTAAGGCCAAACAGATCTACATAGAAAGTTCCAGACCAGCTTAACAATGTAGTATAAACCTATGGCAAAAAAAAAAAAGGGGGGGAGGTAAAGATGTAGAAGATGAAGTCATGTAAAGTCACGTAAAGCTAGAATATGATAGAATGTAACTTGTAAGTGTAATTAAAATTAAACAAGAAAGATAAAAAATACAAAATGTAAAAGAACCAGCAAGAGGTTTTAGCTGAGTCTTCAAAGGTGGGAAGGGATTTCCCTGGTGATCCATACAAACAGCTGAAGCAGCACAGGTATTTCACTTCTAGCAAAACAGAAAAGGAACCCAAGCAAGAAGGAGAGTCTAGAGAGATGGATGAATTCTATTTTGCTGACCTCATAAACCGTGTTATGGTGAGAGTTTATCACTATAACACCAGAAATCATTCAAAAACTTTCAAGTACATTCAAGTTACAGACCATCGCAGTTTATATTCTGGCTGGGTCACCATGAAGCAGACTAAACACAGCCTGGAGATCAAGACTTGAGTCTAAATGCACCACTCTAGGAGTCAAATGGAAGATTGGAAAGGAAGGGGGAAATTCTTAAGACACAGTTAATAGATGTTACTTACTGATCTGACCATTCTGACGTGGGAGTGAGAGAGAGAAAAAGAACAGAGGACAATTTCAGGGTTTTCAGCTTAAATAACCCAGCTTAAATAACCACAATGGTACTAGTGCAAAGGGAGAAAATCACAAAGGTGTCCTCTGAGTGCCTCACACTCAAGGGGCAGAGAGGTGCTTCACAAAGCTTCACAACACAGAGTTCTACGAAAGATGAAGCCTCTAAGGGGGCATCACAGAGGGCATTCCAAACAGACAACCTGCGGCAGGCACAAGGACCCACCACAGCAGAGCCACACCTCCAGGATTACAAGATGCATGGGAGAAAAGACTATGGGTGGGACTGTCACACAGCAAGAGAAGGTAGGAAAGAAGAGAACAAACTCTTGGGACTGTACATGAGGGAGGCAGAAAAAAGTGCACAAGTACGTTAGATCCTCCTGTCACAGGAGAAAGCATTCCACCCCTGATTTACGCAAGGACAGACCCACCTCGTTTCCACACAACTCACTTACTGGAACTTTTTCTTTGAACTCTTCTCCTTATACATTTGATTGGCTTTTGGGCTTCCATCCATACCACCAGAGCCCTTTTGGGACATACAAAACTGTAAAAAAAAGCTGCATTTCTTTATCTATCTCAATTCTGAGCTCTCCCTAACACTCAAAAGGCAGCTTGTCATCTTACGATACACGTTGCTCAACCAAAACACTGTTACTTCAAAGACCACCAAGACAGCTTCTAACCAGTGCTATCAAATAACATGCATGCTTACTGCCACTCCTTTTTTAATTTTTTTATTGTTATTACAAACATACAGTGGGGTTAGAGTTACATAAGTCAGGTGAAAACAGCACATTTCTTGTTGGACAATGTCACCCCCTCCCTCGCTCTCTCCCAGTTTTTCCCTTCCATCCCCACCCACAAGTTGTACAGTTCATTTTCAATTTAGTGTCCATTGATTCATTTGTTCACCCTTTATCACTCCATTTCTGGGCCTTGCTCTCCCAAAGACATATAAATGAACCTATACAGAACAAAATGGGAAAAAAAATTGCCAAAAAAAAAAAGCCTCTTGTTTTTATTTCCTGGAGTTCATTTCGATAAATGATTTTGGATGATCAGATGCACACAGACATTATACTCTTCTGACCTCTCCGTATACTCCTTTGTTCTCACTATGTGTGAATGCCTAGTTACTATAACTTCTTAAACTGTATTGAGTCTGGGCATGCTGACACACACCAGTAATCCCAGCTACTCAGAAGGTGAAGACAGGAAGAAATCAGTCCAAGGCTAAGCTAGGCAACAGTTTGAAACCCTATTTGAAAACCAACCAAAAATTAAGGATGTGGCTCAAGTAAGTAGAGCACTTGCCTAGCAATTACTTGATATCCCAAGTACTGTGAAAGAATATTAATTATGTTAGTATACTTAAAAATAAGTATTATGTACCAACTCCTATCTTACCCTAGAGGTTATTTTAAAAAAAAAAAAAAAGGGCTGGGATGTAGCTCAGTGGCAAAGCGCTTGCCTAGCAAGTGCGACGTCCTGGGTTCGATCCCCAGTACCAAAAAAGAAAAGACAAAAAAATACAGTTAAAAAAAAAAAAACCCAAACAATAAAAAAAAAAAAAAAGAACCAACAACAACTAAAATCTAAACCTCTACTATTCTAACTATATTTGCAGACAATGAATGACCACATCTAGTAGTCAGTGAGGTTGGGGAAAAACTGTGGGGAGGAAAATCATTGTGTGATTTGTGTGGATGTGTGTTTTCTAAGACTAGGATGAGAACTTGTGCATCTACTAACCTATTTCATCGCTTTGTTGCTATTGTTGTTTTGTCCCTTAGCTTTTTCACTCAAACTGGTGTTCTGCCACTTGAGCCAGAACTCCACCTTTGGCTTCTTTTTCTGTGGGGGTGGGGGCAGAGTAGAGGGAGGAGTGTGGTGGGGTTAATTAGAGATAAGAGTTTCACAGATTTTCCTACCTGGGCTAGATTGGATCCATTATCCTTATTTCAGCCTCCTGAGTAGCAAGGATTATAGGTGTGAGCCGCCAGTGCCCAGCTATTCTTATAACTTTAGTTACATTGGCCAAGACATTAATAATTCAGGTATTACAAGTAACAACAAATATACTATATCATAGAAGGATCAAATGGTCCCAAGATACTGAATGATTAGCCTACAAGGCTCTCTTTTTTTTTTTCTTTTTTTTTCTTTTTGTCCGTCACGGCCTGGGTACTATCCCTGAGCAATTTTGCTCAAGGCTAGCACTTTACCACTGTGAGCCACAACTCCACTTGCAGCTTTTGAAAGGTTAATTGAAGATATGAGTCTCGCCAGGGCTTTTCTGCCCACGCTGGCTTCAAACTGTGATCCTCAGATCTCAGCCTCCTGAGAAGCTAAGATTACAGGTGTGAGGCCACTGGCACTTGGCCTAAAAGGCGTTCTTTTTTAAGTTTATTGTAAAGGTGATGTGCAGAGGGGTTACAGTTACGTAAGTCAGATAATAAATACATTTCTTTTTGAACATTTTCTCCCACTCTTTCCCCTCCCAACCCCCCCAAGTTATAAAGTTCATTTACAACATAGTGTCTCGTAAGTATCACTGCTAAACAGGTTTCATCCTTTGTCCCCCCTTTTCTGTGATTCCCCTTCTCCTCCCCACATCAGACAAATCTATATATAAGACAAAAGGTCCAGAAATCAAAATCAGTGACAAAAGGAAATAAACCAAAGGGAAAAAAAGAAAGAAAGAAAATACCTGCAAACAGTACAAGAAAAAACCTCTTGTTTCCATTGCTTAGAGTTCATTTTAATAAGCATCATTTTATATAGTCATAAAATGCACATAGCTATTGGGCCATTCTGATCCTCTCCTAAAACTATCCTCCTTTGTTCTTACTGTGCAAATGCATAGAGTGCTGTTTAATTAATCATGCCCAAGTGTAATTACTGTCTTTTATTATCCATTGGACTACCTTGTAGATTTATAGACATAGTCTAGTTATTACACATGAGGGAAATCATGCAGCCTATGTTTCTTTAGGTCTAGCTTCGATTTCACTTTAAGACCTTAAGAGAACTTGTCAGAACTGCATCTAGTCAGGATTCTATCATTACACTCTTATCTGCCTGGCCTGCTGGCTGAGTTACTTGCTCTACAAGAAAATCAATCACATCAGTAAAATGATTTAAAAATTATTTTTCTTGGAAGGCTATTTCAAATTCAAGAGGTCTTTGATGGTTCTAATTTCTATGCACTGTAGATTACTGCTTAAAACTCAATTTATTTTATCAAAATCTCTAGCATAAATAATGGGGCTCCTCATTACAGTGCAAAATTCTCAGCTTTATAAGAGCAATATTTATATAAAATACATTCAGAAGCCAGAAACTTTTCAATCTTATCTTTTATGACTACTATAACAATGGTGATTAATTTAACATTAACTCCTTCCCAATACCAAACCTTGTGCTGGAAGTCTTTTTTAAAAAGTTATGATTTCCACTTTCTTTTGCTATGTAACTAAAACTATCCTTTGAAAAAGTCTGCTTAGCTAGACACAGTGGCTCACGCCTGTAATCCTAGCTACTCAGGAGGCTGAGATCTAAGGAGCACAGTTCAAAGCCAGTCTGAGCAGGAATGTCTTATCTCTAATTAACCACCAGAAAACTGGAAGTGGCACTGTGACTCAAGTAGTAGAGTACTACCCTTTAGCAGAAGAGCTGAGGGACAGTGACCACGCCCAGAGTTCAAGACTCACAACTGACAAAAAAAAGTCTGTTTGACTCTAACTAAAATCCCAAGCACTCTGGGCACCAGTGGCTCATGCCTGTAATCCTAGCTACTCAGGAGGCTGAGATCTGAGGATCACAGTTCAAAGCCAGCCCAAGCAGGAAAGTCTGTGACACTCGTATCTCCAATTAACCACCAGAAAACTTTTTCGCCAACCTTGAGCGAAAAAGCTTAGGGACAAAACCCAAGTCCTGAGTTCACATCCCCATTACTGACAAAATAATGAATTCAGAGAATCAGCTGTCCAAAGTCAAAAGACAATTAAAAGATTCAAATCTGGCTCTGTCTAACATCTTTCGCAAAACAAGAAGTGCCAATATTTATTATGTGCCAAATACAATGATAAACACATGTGTCATATCGTTTATCTCACACATAAACCAAGGAGATTGCTACAACTAATACCTACATCTTACTGAAGAGAAAACCAAGGTTTATAACGACTGAGCTGTCAAATCACACAGCTAGTAAGTAGAATTCACTAATATTGAAACCCTGTAGCTATGAAGCTACACTGCTTTTCTTCTGTGATTAAGGTGACACTAAACGCCAAAATGAGATCTATGTTGCTTCTACAGAATTAACAGATAAAAATGATGGAGAGCTTTAAGGATTTTCATGCTAATTAAATTATTTGTATTGGCAAGCCCTCTGGTGAGGGGAAAGGCATTAGAAACTAGATGACTTGCAAATCCTATACAACTCTAAGACTGAGATTTAGTATAACAAAGAGTTTGAGTCATAAACACAGCACACAAAGTAAAGAAATCACTGAAATGCCAACTCTCCTGGTGCTTTTGATAAAAACGTTAGTGAACAGACATCTACCCTGCAGGTACATGTAATATGGCTTATCAAATTATTTTATTTTGGCATTTACAATATAATCATCTTTGAAAGAAAATTCTCTCGCATAAAATGTACTATAGAATAAAAAGAAAATCTCATAGGAAAACATTGTGTGTTAAATTAGTATCACCTGGAATCAAATCTGCTCAATAAAGTAATAAAAAAAAAAAATGACAGGATCATCTTGTAGTCAGAGAAGGAGGGAAAAACTGGGGGAGAATTAAAGGATGACATTACCCAATTTGTGAAATGCCCCCAGCACATCACCTTTATAGTAACAATTAAAATAAAAAACAATGACAGGAAGAGCCAAAAAGAGGCCAATGTATGAGTTTAATCTTTGATGAAAAACAGTAATTTGTATTTGAAGTAAACAACACTAAAACTATTGTCTCATTGTAGGTACTATTTCAGGTAACCAACATGCCATAATCGTAATTCATAAGCTCTACATCAGAGTCCAAAGCCCATTTCTATTCCTCCTTTCCAGCACCAATGTCAGTCAATTCACTGTCCAACCAGAAGAGAGATCACAAGCAGAAAAGGTCCCAAAGATTGCCCACTTTGAGATGGAAGGATTTTGAATCATAGACATAAAACTTTATTCCAGACCATTTCTCTTGAAGACAGAGTCACTACTCCTAGGACTCAAAAGCAAACAAGTTCAAGAAGCGAACTTAGGCTCCAAATATCCTGACCAAACACTATTTCTCTTTCCTTTGCTCAGAGACTACAGAATGGCTTCTCCTTAAAACTTTCCAACTTTCTTTCTTTCTTCTGTCCTTTTTTTGAAGGACAACCAGCCCAAAATAGTTTTAGAACATCACTCCACAGTTTATCCTCTTTTTTCAGTCTTTCACACTCTCAAGATGTTATTCTGACACATGTTTACTTACACCACTTAATGTGGACCCAACCTGTGACTCATTAGCACAAATGTCACACCCCACCTACACACTGCCACAGCTCCGGCAACAGGACATGGTACATATGATTAACTGAGGGACAAGAGAAGAGAAATCTATTTTGACTTTTGGAAAGAAAGTTACAAAGGAGAAGATGAAGGAGGTACAATGAAAGAGAAAGGGAGCTCATGAATATATACTTACATTGGTTAGGGGGGCATGCGCAAACATAGAAAATCCTTCAAAGATATATTCATGGTCATCATATTCTATAACAGTCGGCCTGTCGGTCTAAAGAAAACAGAAATAGAAAATGTGACTTAAACAAATCCTATCATTTGCATGCACAGAAATTCATCAGACCATAACATAACCAGCAGCAGAAATGAAAGTGACTGTAGGCTCTTAATGTTTCCCTAAATACCAAGATCTTTATATGGAAGTTTAATTTTAGATGGAATTTTCTGGCTTGATGGAATTCTGTGATTCAGATATTAAGATTATTATGAGTGTCATAAAGAATATATGTATAGTATATCAGATATATGTATGTGTGTATATATACAGATATATATACATATATATACATACATATAGCTTCATTTCCTAGGAACCAGTTTTATTCAATCCTATAACACTACTAGTAATTCTTACTGAACTGTATTTCTAGACTAATAAAGGTTCTAACCAAACAAAGTAAAAACACAGTTGACTCAAACACAAAGTGAAATAAGACTTAGCATCAATAAGGTCAACTAGAATCTGCAGGGGAGGCTCTTGTAGGTGTCAGGTGCCAGATTTAACCCTTTCCACCTCCATCTCCAGACTCACCAGGGAAAGACAACCTACCAGACACTGCAACAGAGCAATTCTCTGGCAGTGTCAAAGATCTCAATTACCTGAAAACTGAATCTGCAATTAGATCATTCAAATGCCAGGCTGACCGTGTCTCTCCCTTAGGTTATTCCTAACGGCCCACCATTTTTAATCCTAAATTCATAAGATGGAGGAAATGATCAGACTGGAAATAGAAAAGTTGCTTTTTTTATACAGGTATTAAGTATCATTCCTTTAAAAAAAAAAACTTTATACATAGAAACTTGGTAAGAACTGAAATATATCCAAATACACATTATTGTTTTTACCCAAATCACTGTTATTTCCTATTTGCATAACTCAACAAAAAATTGTCTAAATTAAATGAAAAGACATTCTGATGAAATAATGATTAATAATGGCATAGACACTTTGGAAAAGATTTTGGCAAGTTCTCAAATATTAAACACAGAGACCCAGTAATTTTAGTAATAGGGATATACCTCCAAAGCATCAAATATTTATTCATACACACAACTTGTACACAAATATCCACCTCAGCATTATTCATAATAGCAAACAATGAAGACAACACACATGTCCAAATGAATGGATAAAGAAAATAAGGTATATCTAACACTATATATACAATATATGAAATATTACTTGGCTATAAAAAAGAATGGAAGAGAAGGCTGGAGTATAATACTGGCTCAGATTATTTGTCTGGTACATATGAGGGTTTGATCCTCAACACCACAAAAATAATAAATTAATAAAACACTGATAGATGTTACAATATAAAAGAGTCTTTGAAAAATTATGCTAAGTGAAAGAAACAAGATGCAAAAGACTATATATTTCATTTTCCCTATGAAATATGCAAAATGGGCTACTCTATAGATACAGAAAGTGCCTCTCTACCCGACTTAACCTTGGGGGGGTGGGGGTGAGAAAAAAAACTGACTGAATGGGTACCAGGGCTAACAATGGTTGCACAAGTCTGTAAATTGACAAAAATCATGAATTAAACACTTTGAGTAAACAACTGTGGCTCAAAAAAGTTGTTAAAGTATATATTTATGAATAGTTCTAAAATCTCTTGATGACACATGTAACCAGACTTAGTCAATTTCCTACTGTAAGAGTCAATAGAGCACAGTAGAACATATATGAATATATCCTGGCTTCAAATAACCACTCTATGACCTAGTAATTAACTTCATCTACAAAACACAAACTAATGCCCCCTGTGTATAACAGAGATAATACATACTTACTTGAGGTAGGTTGTGAGAATAAGTTAACACACAGAACCATTTAGAATCGTGCCTACAATATTACCACTATACGAAATGGTAAGTATAAAAATTCTAAGAACAATTATAATTATCACAAATACACAATACACGTTCTTATTTGAGTCACAGATAATAAATAGGTTGATTCTTAAAGAGACGCAGAAACACTCTACTTAATTCTTCCTACTCCACTGCTCCAATAAACAGCTCCATAGTTAACTGGCTACTATGAATTTGGCTAGGAACAATACAAATGATGCCTACAAATACAGTAGTATGAGAGCTGAAATTAACCTCATTATGATAAAAACTAAACTTAGCAACATAAAAGTACTTTTTAAAGCCAGGCGCCGGTAGCTCACACCTGTAATCCTAGCTACTCAGGAGGCTGAGATCTGTGGATCAAGGTTCAAAGCCAGCCCAGGCAGGAAAGTCCGTGAGACTCTTATCTCCAATAAAAAACCACTAGAAAACCAAAAGTGGAGCTGTGGCTCAAGCGGTAGAGTGCTCACCTTGAGCTGAAGAGCACAGGGACAGCACCCGAGCCCGGAGTTCAAGCCCCACAACCAACCAAAAAAAAAAAACAACTTTTTAATTACTGAGGATTAAGCCTAAGGTCTGATATATGCTAGACACTCTACTATTGAACTATATTCCCAGCCCCCAAAATAAGTATTTTTCAAAAGAAGTCTTGAAAACTGAATCAGTAACTCAGTAACTACACTCACATTTGAATCTACTTTTTGAATTATACACAAATTGCTTTTATTAGCAACTTACTAAAAAGTTGGTAGGAGGGGAGACGGTGATGCGGTAGTGGAAGAGTCTGCCAGCGTTGTTGGTCATGGGGCGACAGGGCTTGATGGCCTGAGGAGACAAAACCAAAATGACTTGACAAGCAGAATTTTCAGCCTCACATCTGACAATGGACATGTCCACGTGTGTTCCTTCACAAGTTAACAGGAAGGAAGACGTAATCACTTTGTATCATTAAATGAATAAAAATAGCTCTCAGCAACCTTTCCACCGGCCCTGGTGAAGTGGGACCAGTGTCCAATAAGACCAATAACTTGCCTAGGTTTGGGGCAACTCAAAATTTGTGAGCTTGGCGAACAGGGGACTATTCATCCACGGGAGTGCCTGGGAGACCAGGGCTGGCCCCAGGGCATACACAGGATCTGCTACTGGCAAAGACATAGTCCTGTTCCATCCAGGTGGCTGGGTCACGTTGGCTACATCAGTGTTCAGGAGGAAGTGCAAGAATTCAGGAGTCTTAGCAGATTTCTAATTTGGGAGCTCTTTTGGCATACTTGACAAAAAAAAAACCACCTTCGTAGGTTTTGACTCCACAAGAGAACCACAGCATTCCACAGGGCTTCACCCAAAGTGTGGGCCACAGCCAGTCAGTGTTCACTCTCCTGATTTTTCACCTGAAAGTACTGAAATGACTCACTTGCTTCCTGCAACTATCATGAGCAGGACTCAGACAGCCTTCTCCTTAGTTCAGTCAGTACCAAAGATGTGCCTTAGGCACTGGTAGTTTACTTTGGCATAGCTTTGGCAAGACGTTAGAGTAGGAACAGGTCAGAGTAGGAAGGGAAAGCTGAGCATCTGAGCAGAGCTTTGCCAAGTTTGGGAGATCTTTGCCCTTTTCTGTACCTATGTTCAATGTATAGCGATAACCAGGTATCCCTTTCACAAAGGCACTTTAAGCTACTCTCTGCTGTTTGTGAACACTGCCTGAGCAAAGTGAGCCCTCTTCTGGACATGACTGGGCTAGTGTGTACCACGCTGCTGACATGCATTGCTGACACTGCAGGAAGGCCAAAAGAGCCTAATAGCTACCAATGGTCTATGCTACCAATGATATAGCTTGATACGACACAATTTTTCAGAGGCCCAGATAACATGACTTAAGAATATTTCTACATCTAAAATAAAATTCTGTGACCATCTTTCTTTTGTTACACAGTATTAAGGGCTACTTTTGGCTACATTTACAAATATAACAATGGAATACTTAGTAAAGTAAGGAAATTAATCACAGAAATTACAGCATTGGGTTTCCACAAACACCAAAAACAGTGAAAGGAATAAACATGCAAGGCAAAAAGAAGGGGACAGAAATGAAGAAAGCATGAGAGGTGGCAGAATAAAATATCTCTTGAGCTTAAAAAGGGAAAAGGAAAACTCCCTACTACGTGGCAATCACTCACCTGAGTGATGGAGAAATTCCAAAAGTGTCATTGCAGATGGTGGAGGAAAGACATGAGAGTATTACAATATGGTAGCATCTATTGCTAGAAAATATACCACATAATCACCAGAAGGCTCACCAAAAGACACATACTAGAGAGAGGCATTGCAATGCTAAAATCAGTGGAGGTCTCCTCTGCAGGCCAGGGCTGCCCATAGGATGAGAGTGGTCACAGAGCAGAACTTGTCAATAGCAATAACAATAACAGAATCCTGAAACCAGAAGCCAGGCTTCTCAACTGCTAGAAGCCATGATACATAATTATCATTGTCACCAATAAGGGCAAAGTGGCAGCCACGGGAGCCTAAAGCCAGCTATGGAAGCAATCAACAGAACATGGTGTCCTTGAACACAAAATAGAAGAGCCACCCACAGGGTGTCATTCAGCTCACACTAACAGAGGAAATCCAGATGGATAGCCGAGAGTAGAAAGCAGGTCACTCTAGTAAAGTCATACTATACCTTGCCCAGGGGCCAAGTTTTTTGGACCAAAAAGCATTGGCTGAAGAGGTAGCCAGATCCTAGGAAGAAGCATGCTGTAATACTGCAATAAGCAAAGATAGTGATGCCTTCCTCAAAGGGGCCTACGGCTATTGACCCAAGAAACCCAGATACCTAGACAGTTCAAGGAATATTGAAATCAGGATCTGAATAATCACATGGAAAGTGGATATGCCCATTTCCAGGGTAGCACAAAGGCTGCCAACATCAGGTAGGTCCAAGTAATAAAGACCTCAGTAGTTCCCAGCTGAAGGGCAAGCATTCCTGCTGCTGCAACCCAACAACTCAGCAGACACTATGATGATGGGAGAAAAGATGCTGAGATGAAAATCAAAGTGATGTTCCCTAAGGTTCTGGAGCAAGTCCAGACCCTGCCATCTACACTGAGTGAGATCTGTGCCTGAAAGAACACTACAAGGGACATCAAGTAAACACATAACCAGAGTGTTTTCAATCCCAAGAAATTAAGCTGAGTGGCACAGGCAGCCATCCATCATGAGATGGGGTGGCACATCAGAGTCAAGCCCATAATAGGAACTAGGCATGAACAAGCTGCTTGGGAAGGTGACCCACATCCCCAGGGCTGCACCCCTGTCCCACCAACCCCTCAGCTGATGGCTAAGGAAGTAGCAATCAAGGTAGAAAAGCAAACCTTGGTGTGCAAACAGGTAAGGGGTATACAATGAAAAGGAATTAAACTACGTACGGCTCAATCAGGGATGGCTCTGAAAGACCACTCTGAGAGAAAATGCTCCCCTTAGGCAGTCTCTGGCAGGTTACCTGGTCATGCGTTTCATGTGGAAAGAGATGGGGTCTGAAGTTAGAACTCAGAGCATATGGTCATGCCACATGGTCAGGGAACCAGAAGGAAGAAGACTGGAAGGTCAGGAATGAGAAAGTCCTGGGGTTGTGACTTGTAAATAGACAGGCAACACAAATGGCATCTCTGCCAGTATGGCGTCCAAGACAAAGCAGCCACTGTCCTCAGCCACCCCGACAGTGGATAGGATAGGAGCACGGGTCAGAAATGAGGGCTTCACATGAGCTCAGCAGCACAGACCTCACATATCAGTTAACCACCACTGCCAAACATCGAACTGGCCAACTACAATGAGCCACGTGTGTTCCCCAAAATGGCGCCATTCTTTCAAGAGACCAGTCAGTTACATGGATACCTACACTCCTTTCATCTGTATATGGACGGATAGGCTCTACTGAGTTTGTGCACAGGTGTTGAGCTGGCACCGGCCCACCTTGCGCCTCTCTCCTCGGCTGTGGGGAAAGTGTCAGCCTGTAGCCTACAGCTGTCCACTCCTCAGCGAGGCTCCATCAGGGCCAGCCTCAGCTGCACATTCCTGTCTTTCAATGTCACGCCATGCCCTTCCCAAGGAAGGTTGCTCTGGGGACTGAGGGAAATAGGAATATGAAGGCCATTCCAGTCCAACATAAGGTAATTCCAATAAGCCCAGGCTTGATCAGGCCTATATCTCAGCTGGACTCTTCCATATGCTCAGCCCTGCCTCTGTTCGCTTCCTGTCACAAGTGTGGATTCCTCATCAGTGTCTCAGAGCTCCCAACTAAGCCACATGCACAGATGCCCATACTACTGCCTTCATCCACAATGCCCTGCCGCCCTTGCAGTTTTCAAAGACAGATGCGATAAAATGAGGCAAATATGTCCCATTAGCAGGTATTGTCAGTCTTTGGTTCAACTTCCATTATGCATCCAACAAATTTTACACAGAATGGATTTAAATATTCCCTGTTTAAACACAATGCCCTGAATCCTAAGGTGATGGTTGTGGGACAAATAAGAAATATCAAATTGAGAGACAATGAGGGGGGAAAAAAAATGAAAGAAACCAATCAAAGTTACAGATGCTCTAGTTGCTCAGCTAAGCGTAAAGTGTCCCCAGCAAGCCACAGGGCGGGGGGGGAGGGGGGGGGGTGTTCCTGGGCTGGTCACAGTTTGATGGAGTGACAGAATAACAAGGACACGCTCTCTTGGAAGGGAAGCACCAGCAAGCAATCATGGGGGTATAGACCCCAAGAATGATGAGATCACGAGCCTCACAACACATTAAAAAGATCATTTCTCTAGGGTAATTTACAACCAGTTATGATGAAAATAGTTACTGTAATGTGTACAGCTTTAGGATACTTAATAAATCATTAATTTGCCTGGTTTAAATAATGTGCCTTCTACAAACCTTTAAAGTTTCCTTGATCATTAATATTCCACACTCTACCCTCAAAACTCAAATATTTGTCCTCTGCAATTATCAAAAACAAAGACTGGATTAGAGAATACAAATAGACTGCTTTGATGGCATGACTGGAAAAAAAGAAAAAAAATAGCACCAGCATCTGTCTGCTGCTCGCTCATACCCCAAACCAGTTACCTCTTCTCCGGGATAAATGCTGTGCCGAATTCCTGTGCGTCTCGCTTTGGCGCTGCATTTGCACAGAGGTCCATCATTCATCTGTCGGAAACAGAATGGAATTCGTTTTTATTGGGGGGAGCATCCACGCCATGCACGATGATGCCTCAGAAGCCACGGGGTTTAATGTCATGAGAAGCGCGGCTCTGCAAAGGCTGTCATAGTGAGAAGATTAAACGGATGTTCTAGTCCCAATAAAGCTGCAACCTGTCTATATTGCCTGATAAAGTGAACCGGGTGACAACATTGGACTCCCAAGTTATCTGTGCAGCCAAGCAGGAAATATCAATGTCAGCACCCTGTCTGCTCCCATCTCCTCTTGCCTTTCTTTGGGACATTTTTTGTTTTTCTTATTTCAGGAAAAATGACTTACAAAAAAAAAAAAGCATACTTTATATCCTGTATGAGGTACACATAATGCTCAGGAGACGATCTTCAGATTCTTTTAAAAAGAAAATCTCAAATGTACCTCTGAAAGCAGAAAGGGGAAATAAAACCTACTAGGAACAACATCATCACGTCAGACTACATCTTCTTTTTTTTTTTTTTTGGTCCGGTTGTAGGGCCTGAACTCTGGGCCTGGGCGCTGTCCCTCAACTCTTCAGCTCAAGGCTTGTGCTCTACCACTTGAGCCACAGCGCCACTCCCGGCTTTTTTCTTTTTGTTTATGGAGTGCTGAGGAATCGAACCCAGGGCCTCATGCATGCAAGGCAAGCGCTCTACCACTGAGCCACCTTCCCAGCCCCAAGACTACATCTTCTTTAACCTGAATTAATTTTACTACCTTGAGCCCCAGACACCTTGAGTCAATTAGGATGTCTCACAGACAGAACTGAGTTCTAGGCACAAGGTTTGTGAACTCTGAGGACATGAACTCTGGATAGGAGAACACAAAGATATGCTTGGTACTTCCAAAGAAAAAGAAAATCCATCTACGTGGATGTACCACAGTACTGTAGCTGTCATGAGTGGGTCGGGAAAGGCTTCTTAGTAGAGAAACATAAAGAGCCAGAAAAAGCACCCTCTCAAAAAAAATAAAGAAGCTGCGCATCAGTGGCTCATACCTGTAATCCTAGCTACTCAGGAGGCTGAGATCTGAGGATCACAGTTCAAAGCCAGCCCAGGTAGAAAAGTCCGTGAGACCTTTTTATCTCCAATAAACCACTAGAAAACCAGGAGTGGCGCTGTGTCTCAAGTGGTAGAGCACCTGCCTTGAGCTGAAGAGTGTAGGCACAGTGACCAAGCCCTGAGTTCAAGCCCCATGATCGGCAAAAAAAAAAGGAAGGCAGGAAGCCATATTATACTCTGGGGACATAAGCCCCAAAAAGATGGACCAGATCATTTATGTAAGTTGAAAGACCAAAGGAGAACCAAATCAAAATCTAGAGTTTTAAAAAACAACTTTAGCCATTTATCCAACATCAACATACTGGACAGGAGTGGACCTTCTTTTTCTTATCATCCTCTAAATAATACACTATAACAACTACTTATATTAGGCATTAGAAACCATCTAGAGATGATTTTAAGTGTAGGAGAAGGTATGTGTATATTATATGCAAATATTATAGTAAAGGGACTCTAACAGTAATAGACATTCCTATTGAATCAATCACTTTGGACACTAAGGGATGCTGATACAGACTTAAACATATCCTTTCATATTCTAGGAATTAGTGACTTACTATATCCAATTAAAATATAAATGAAAAGAATCTAAAAAAAAAAGTCTTTGAAAAGAAACAGTAAAGTGGGCTGGGAAGTGGCTTAAGGGTAGAGCGCTTGCCTCGCATGCATGAAGCCCTGGGTTCAATTCCTCAGGACCACATACACAGAAAAAGCTGAAAGTGGTACTGTGGCTCAAGCGGTAGAGGGCTAGCCTTGAGCAAAAGGAGCTCAGGGACAGCGCCCAGGCCCAGAGTTTAAGCCAGCACTGGAAAAAAAAAAAAAAGAAAAGAAAGAATAAAGTGAAAAGCTTTAACTTTCTTTAACCTTTTGGGAAATCTAAGGCGCCAGGTGGTATGGCAGAAAAATAACATTATTATCTAAAACATTGTTATGATATTATCTAAAGTAACAGCTGGCAAATAACAGATGTAATAAACTTCCATCAAAAATCATAACACTCTCCTAAGGCTGGTCATAACTTCTAGTAATAAAAAAAAAAAAAAAAATGTAGAGATCTCAGAGTGCTCTCTGATTTCCAGGGGAGCAGACAGCCTACATGTTTGCGGTTTACCAAGGTCTGGGCTCCTACAGCCTTTTATAATCAGCTACACAGAGACCAGAAACCCAAATAAAATAAGCAGAATAGTGAACCAATATAGACACTCTAGCCAATCGCTGAAAATCCACAGAAATTGAGATGGATGCTTCTAAACCAGAAAAAAATGACAGCCAATGATAAAGACTTAAATGGGGAAAGGACTGTTACGGAAGATTTTTTTTTTTAATGCTCCAAAATTAGATTGAGACAAAGGTTGTGTAACTCAGGCAGTTTAAAACACTGGATTGTAAACCTATGAGTAAATTCTATCGTGTAAATTACAATTCAACAAGTTTGCAAACATTTTCATTCAATTCCAACGCACTATAAGCTACATTTTTGTCATTCATTCTGAATTAATCCTATCAAAAAATATTTAAATAGCTAGCATCTAAGAACCAGAAGAGCAGTCTTAACTAACACAGAAATTATTCCCAAAATACGTTAAATTACAAAACATTTAGGCAAAAAAAATTAGGTTTTATATTGTTCTTAATCATCTCACATACATACCTTTCTATGTACTACATATTTATAAAACACAAATCCTTTATAAAGATACGGCTTGTGTGTGTGCCAGTGACTTGAACTTATGCGCGCACTTGGCTTTCTTGCTCAGAGCCACTGCCCTACCACTTGACCCAGGCCTCCAATCCAGCATTTTGCTGGTTAATTAGAGATGAAATCTCAATAGGCCAGTTTCAAACCTCAATCCTCAGATCTCAGCCTCCTTAGGAACTGAGATGACAAGTGTGAACCCACTAGTGCCCAGCCTAAAGAGTTGGGCACAGTGACACTCATTTTTAATCCCAGCTCTCTGGAGGCTGAGACAGGAAGATCACAAGTTTGAGGCTAGCCTGGGCTAGCCTGTCTCAGAACAGAGAGAGAGGAAAAGAAAAAGGGAAAAGAGAAGAAAGGAAAAAGGATGTTTCATTTCCAAAGAAACTAGTAACTGAAAATAAAAATGGCTGAAGTCATCAGCTCAAACCGGCCTGGCAAGGAAGAAAATTTGGAAGAGCTCGTACCTGTGACCAGTTAAGAAAAATGGAATTTTATAGGACAATTTTGTTTACTCTTTTGCAGCAAGATCCCTTCCAGGTGAACTGCTTTTCAAAAGACCTACAAGTTCCCTGACCCCTCATCCTACCATCCATCTCTACCTTAATGATGCAGCACCATTATCATGCTCCCCAACAGAGAATTTACCAACATCATCAACTATGATTCAAGGATCGGCTGCTCAGATGCTTATGCTTTGCTGCTGAGCTCTGAAGCCCAAAAGAAATAAGTCCTACAAAAATGACACACAACCCTCTGAGTACAATTCCATTTCAGTACTGGCCAACATGCATCTTCTGAGCCCAGAGCCATAAATGTGATGTGTGGGTTCACAACCTTCATAGCAAGAGCATAAAAATACTCGTACCTGGCCTGGGTCGTTGTACCACAGTTCATCATGAAGTCGGTCGGGGTGGGCCTTTTTGCGCTTAATTTCTGCGATGACATCAAACACCTCAGAGTCTGAGCTGCTAGAGCAGGTGCTGTCCTCGTCAGACTCACATTCTGATTCGCTGGCGCTCTCTAACACAGGGTGGAGAAAGCACAGAAGTTGCAGAAATCAATCAAGTGGTTTTTGTGCAGACTTCCAAATGACCTGAGCTTCTACGCCTAAGCAACTATCTGAGGGACAGCTCCATAACCCACTGCTAAGCAATGCCAGGAGAAAAACATAGATACATAGCCTGTAATGCTAAGTCATAATGTAACTGGGTAAACAAAATTATTTTTTTTTTTACAAAAAAAGCCAAGACCTAATAAGTGGATAAATTAACATAGTAATGGAGATTCATACTTTAAAAACTATGTCAAGGGGCTGGGAATGTGGCTTAGTGGTAGAGTGCTTGCCTAGCATGCATGAAGCCCTGGGTTTGGCCCTGGGTTCGATTCCTCAGTACCACATAAACAGAAAAAGCCAGAAGTGACATCGTGGCTCAAGTGGTAGAGTGCTAACCTTGAGTAAAAGAAGCTCAGGTACAGTGCTCAGGCTCTGAGCTCAAGCCGTCCCAGGACTGGCAAAAAACATTAACAAAAACAACTGTTTCAATGCTGGTGGCTACGCAGGAGGCTGAGATTTTAAGATTTTGGTTCAAAACCAAACTAAGCAAGAAATTCTGTGAGACTATCTCCAATTAACCACCCAAAAGCCAGAAGTGTAGCTGTGACTCAAGTGGTAGAGCACTAGCCTTGAGGGAAAAAACTAAGGGACAGCATACAGGGCCCTGAGGTCCTGGCATACATGTGCACACAAGGAACAACTTCACAGACACAGTACATGTGAGTCAGCCATGAAAGGAGAAGAGGAATGGAGAAGAGCCCTGCAGGTAGAACATGAAGGGAAAGAGCTCTCCGGCTATAGCAACAGCTCCACAGAACCCTGAGAGAGAGGTTAGGGATTGGGAGCATTGCAAATGCCAGACTGAGGCCACAAATGCAACACTGACAATCTTACATTGCTTTACCTAAGTAGCAGCAATAAAAGATTTTAGTCCTAGAAAGCGAATGCATAGAAAGACAGAATTTTACAAATACTGTGAAATATAAGAAGTACAATAAAGTAGTATAATGAAGTACAATAAAGTGACCTGGGCCACAGTGGCTCACACCTATAATCCTAACTACTCAGGAGGCTGAGATCTGAGGATTATGGTTCAAAGCCACCCTGAGCAGTAAAGTCTGTGAGACTCTTATCCCCAATTAACCAACAGAAAATCAGAAGTGGCACTGTGGCTCAAAGTGGTAGAGTACCATCCTTGAGAGCAAAAGCTCAGGGACAGTGCCCAAGCCCTACATTGAAGCCCTATGGACCCCAGCGCAGGGGGGGGGGGGGGGGGGGGGAGACAAACATTGCATGATTCCACTTACTCAAAACTGTCAAATTTAGGGACAGAAAGTGGTAGTCACTGTTAGGGCTGGAGGAATGGGCTTTCTGGAGAGACATTGCTACTTAAGTCCAAAGTTTCAGTTACATAAGAAGAGAGATCTGGAAATTGGTTGCCAACAATGTGAATGTACTTAACTGGCCAGTTAAAAATAGTTAAGATAAAAATGTTTGTTGTGTGTATTTTGCCACGATTTTTTAAAGTTAGAAATTAAGATTAATCCTACAGAAGAAAAATCAATGTAGCAGTAGCAGAATAATAAAATACAAAATCAGAGCTCTGTGTATGTGCACTACATGACATACACACTATTGTCATCCCCATTTACCAGGAAAAACTAAAGAACAGAGTGATTAAATGATTTGCCCCAAGTCTTGTGCCCAGGCCACTTAAAAAGTGGGTGGAGCAGAGATTCTGAGTCAGGCCACTGGGCTTTGGAGTCAGTACTTCTATCTATGTGGGTACAAACTTTAAGTAGCAGACACAATAAAGGAGGGCAAACAAGAGCCAGGAGGAACAGGTAACGATAGCACATGGAGGGTCTCATCTACACACAGCTTTCTGTTAGGTCTGAGGATACAAAGTAGAAAAAAAAAAAAAGCATCTCCATCCTCAAAGTTGCCACCATCTATTTGGACCCACAGAACAGATGAAATGAAAATGGGGTAGAAACTGTCTACATGAGCAGGGAGAAGCCTTCCAACAGAGGTGGGCCACAGTTACTGTTTCCTCATCAAACCAGGAGCACCTGACAAAAGAAGACTGGCAGGGAGAGGCCACCAGCCCATCTTCAGGCCTGAGCCTTGGACTGGAGACTGGACTCTGGACGCTGGACCCTGACCCTTTCCCATACGAAGACTGCCCAGCTTGGCAGGAAACAACACTTTGCTAGCAAGTCTTAGAAATGAGACTTCTCACAGTCTGATGAACAGAAATTTGGGAAAAATAGTATCAGAAAGAAGGAAGGATGATTCCATTGCTGTGTAGGTTTGCTGACTATAACTAAATGAGAAGAAAAAGAGAAGATTTCAGTTTAGGGATGCTTCCAAAAGGGCTAGGATTAAGCAATAATAGAAGCACAAAGTCTTGGCCTAATGGCTCTTCCACTCACCTAAATCTTCATCTAGCTTCGTCTTCGGAGGCTCCCACGGAGGCCTAGCAGCCTTGGCCTTTTCTTGTCTGCTCCCCAATTCTTCTTCAAATTTGTCGTACAAGTCTCGGAGCCTACTTGTTCCAACTACAGTAGAATCTCCCTTTGCAAAATAAAAGATCAAAAGGAGGAACTATATAAATATTGACCACATCAGAGACGGATATTATAATTTATCAAAGAATTTTTAACAGCAAGATACCATTTTTCAACTCCCAACTGAACAAGCACTGAAAAACAAAATACCCAATGCTGGCAATGATCATCTAAATCAAACACACTTGGATGGCTGATAGTCTTCACATAAGCATACTTGGCTGTCGTTTAGGAATATTACTCATTCATCTATGCCCTATGACCCTGGCCTTCAGGAAAAAAAAAATAGTCTATAAATCTTCCCCTCCCACCTTCTCACCACAAACTACTAGATGAAGTTCTTCATTCTACCTATTCTCTCCCAGAATATGTCACTTTAAATGCCCACTCTTCAAGTTGGTAATATCAAAATGTAAAAAGCAGAACTTACAACTATTAAAACAGAACAAAGGCAAATCATAACATCTACTACCCAAAAATAGAGCTAATTGCTTTTTCTCAGGGCCATGATAGTTCTGACATTCCTAACACCATGTCTGTGCCAGAGGGGAAAAAAAAACACACAGGTAGATGTTCAGGCCATGAAGCCTATTAACCTCCCTTTTAACAATATGTCTATAACTATGTAAGACGAAAGCAGCTCTGCAAGTTTAAACCCTCTGCACTCAATTCCTTAGTCTTTGTTGTTTGATGAATGCCAGCCAGGCCTAGTAATTCAGGCCTGTAATCCCAGCTACACAGGAAGCATAGGTAGCAGAGTGACAGCCCATTGCCTTACATGGGAGAAAGGGCTTGAGCTACGAAGGTTATAGAATTTGAGATGGAAAAATCATCTTGGATTACAAGTGGACCCCATAAAAGCAGAGAACCTCTGCCAACAGGAGTCAACGATGCCACAGAAGAGGTTGGCAGGAGGTATTCAAGACATGAGAGGAACTTGAACTGCACTGCTGGCCTTGAAGATGGAAGGGATCCACAAGCAAAGAAATTCAGGTAGCTTCCAGGACAGCAAGCAAGGAAACAAGAACCTCTGTCCTCTAGCCCCATTGAACCTAACTCTGCCATCTGAATGAGCAAGACAATTGATTTTTCTCCACAGCTACAGAAGGGAACACAGCCCTGCCAACACCATGATTCAGCCAGTGAGCCCCCAAATTGGACTTATGACCTCCGGTGCTGTGTAAAGAGAAATGTGTGATGCTTGAAACCATTCAACACGGGGAATTTTGTAACAGCAAGGAAGACAAATTTCTGAAGCAGACAGCAGGCTGGCAAAGGGATAGAAGGGGTAGCCTGGGCACGGTTGTAGCGGAAGGCTTCCCATCATGCCCTCACGATTCCTGGGTGCACACAGGTGTGTAAGATGGGCTGTCCAGGTGCTCATCATCCTGCTATCACAGAGGCTGCTCAGGAGGCAGCAGAGCCTGGTCATCCCTGGGCCACGGAGCAAACACTGGCCATGGCTTTCCTCCACACGCCTGTTCCAAGACAAATAAACTTGGCTCATTTAAGACACATGTAAGCCAGGTATCATGACTCACAGCAGCACACCAGACAGAATGCGTTTTTGCCAGGGATGTTTGAGGATTAACTAAGGTAATAAGAGACACATGGAGTAAAGAACTTAGCTCAAGAGCTTTCCTTTCACTGCAGCATGTGACCTATGACTTAAAAGCCTGTTCTGATTCATCAAACAAAATATCACCACTAGTAGGGATTTCTCAGACTTTCTTCTTCCAAAAGGAAGGAGTTCTCCTTTCAAGTTCAGACAAAGAAGCCACGAAAGGTCCTTCACTTAAGATATTTTGAACTTTAAAAACGCAAAAGCAACGCACATTCCACAGAAACTATACTTCACGTTTTGGATTTGGATGTTTTTATTCTCAAGTCTGCACTGTGCTATGACACGGTCCTGCACTGCTGTCAGCCACATCATCACGAGGGGACACATCAACACCATACAATGTGAGGTACTGTGCCATCAGCACAGGTGGAGTCAAGCATCCAGTGTATTATATGGGACATTCAATTCTGCATTACAGAGTCCTTTTTTTTTTCCCCAGCTACAGGCTAATTTAAGTGGTCGAGCATATTTAAGGAGGGATGGGCTTATCCATAACACTTGTTATTATGTATTAAATGCATTTGGGACTTAAGATAGGTTAGATTAATAAGTGATTCATTATATTACCCATCATAAGTCAAAGAACACCTATATGTTCACAAAACTGTGAACAACATAACCCAGTCTATTTAACCCTAGGCACTGAATCTCTTATTCCTAACTTCTTATGCCCCAAATCTGTACATAGTCATTCCTCACTCTCATATTCATCTCACATATGTTATGTATCTACCTTGTGATCAACAGGCCCATATTAAGAGGAGGGATTGAAGGCATAAAGCCTACAGATAAAAAAGAAAGAGATGAGAGTGTGATGGAAAGGAAATAAGGGTAGAAGAAAGAAAAGCAAAGTGAAGTATCTGTATGGCAATGACTTGGCTACAGAACTGCATGGGCCCTGTGTCCAGCAGCATGTGAACACAGCGACTTCTCCACACCCAGCAAAAGCAACCACAGTTCCCCTTCTCCACGTCAGCCAAGAAACAAAGGAAACTTCATCTAACTGATGATCTTGTGTGTGTGTGTGTGTGTGTGTGTGTGTGTGTATGTGTGTGTGCTGGTCCTGGGGCTTACGCTTTGGACTTCGTCACCGTTTCTGAGCTTTTTGGCTAGAACTCTACCACTTGAGCCACAGCTCCTCTTCAGGTTATTGGTGGTTAACTGGACATAAGAGTCTCACAGACTTTCTTGCCTGGGCTAGTTTTAAGCCATGATCTTCAGATCTCAGCCTCCTGAATGAGTAGCTAGGATTACAGGAGTGAGCCACTAGCACCCATCAGCTGAACTCTTTCTTGCTCAATGATGTGCTTTAAAATGACAAACTTGGGCTGAGAAGGTGGCTCAGTGGTAGAATGCTTGCCGTGCATGCATGAGGTCCTCGGTTCAATTCCTCAGCATCATATAAGCAGAAAAGGCTGGAAGTGGTGCTGTGGCTCGAGTGGTAGTGCGCTAGCCTTAAGCTGAAGAGCTCAGGGACATCACCTAGGACCAGAGTTCAAGACCCAAGACTGACAAAAATAAAAATAAAAATAGGGCTGGGAAGGTGGCTCAGTGGTAGAATGCTTGCCTTGCATGCACAAGGCCTTGGATTCAATTCCTCAGCACCACATAAGCAGAAAAAGCCAGAAGTGGTGTTATGGCTCAAGTGGTAGAGCACTAGCCTTGAGCTGAAGAGGTGAGGGACAGTGCCCAGGACCAGAGTTTAGGCCCCACGACCAAAACAAAAAAATAAAATAAATAAATAAAATAAAAAATAAAAATAAAGACAAACTCAGAAGTTGGAGGCATGGTTCAGTTGTTAGGGTACCAGCCCCTGAGCAAAAGCATCAGGTACTGAATTCAAGTCCTAGTCTCAAACTGAAAAAAAAAAAAAAGAGACGAACAGATTCTTCCTTATTTCCCATTTAGGGAGAAACACACATACACGTAATAAACACCACAAAATTGGCTGAACTAGTCACAGGTGAGACCTTAGGAAATCCCCATATCAAAACTATCAGTGTCCAAAAACATGTAGAATAGGTATTTATTTAACCTATTGCATGCTTGGCCTTCATTTTTTGTTTGTTTTATAACAGCCTACATCTGTAGTAGTGATCCCTCCCTCTCTCTCCCTCCCTCCCTCCCTCCAGTCCCCCAGTGACATATAGCAACCTCTGAAGGTTGTTTTGGTTGTCATCACAGGAAGTGCAACTAGCATCTAATGGGCAGACACATAGATGCTATGCAAGATGCTACAATACACAGGGAAGCCCCACAAAGAACTAGCTGGCCCAAAATGCCAGGAGTGCTAGGAAGAGAAGCCCTGGACTACAGCTTCGCTCCTCTTTCAGACCTACCACCTGATCCATGGGGTCGCTGGAGTAGTAGTTTTCTGAATGGGTGCATCGAATCCACACAGGTTTAAGGAGCTCCTCTTCTTCCTCCTCGTTTTTGTCAGGCAGCATCTCCTCTGATTCCTTCTCCTTGATGGAGGTATAGTTCTTTTCTTTGCCAGAACTCTGGCTGTCACTCCATCTGTCTTTTTCTTCCTCCCAACGAGCTCTCTTCTTCTCCCTGCTGGGGGACCGACTTGAAAGCAAATGAAGAAAGTGAGTTATTAGTTAGCCATGCTCTTTCCTTGCCTAAACTATCTGGTGCACTCTTCATCTGAAGAGAGATGCCATGCCATCTTGGACACTTACGTTTATTAAACCAATGATTCCCCAAGACTAGTCTGCTAGCATCAGATTCTCCTCAAGTTTACTTTTGTAAAAAACTATGAATTCCTTGACCCTACAAATCTACTTACTGATTGACAACCTCTGTGGCTGGGGCCCAAGAATCTGTATTTTTAATAGTCTCTCCAGGTAATTCTGGTGTGCATCCTGTAGGTTCAGCGACACCTGCTAAGCTGTAACTCCTAGAAGAGAAAGATATTTGGGAAATATTTAGAAATCGACCTGTGTAGACAACTGCAGCAATGAGAATTCCAGTCTCAAATCTTTCTCGTCTAGCAGTGGAGCAGCAGCAGCTCCCCTAACCATCTTTTTGGAACTCCAAGCTTGAGTATTACCACATAGTGAAGCAAAATTTGGGCTGATTCCAATCCCTACAAATACTAACACTAATAAGAAGGATGAACCAACTCTTGTCTCCTTGAATTCTTGGGGCTTGAAATATACCAAGTATGCAAATAGACACATTTTAACAACAAAAATGGAATTCAAACCTGCCTTTCCCTTTTCCTGATCAACAAGAGTAGGAATGCCTTTCCCTTCCAATGCATCTACACCTGAACACTTTATCCTTTTGAGGTACATAACCAATGAATCTAATGATAGTCATTGAGCTAACACTTTTTCCCAGCTGTAGTTCCCCCAAATTCTACCATGAATACAATTGTGTTTTTGAGCTTTTGTCAAATGACCTCCCTTCTAAAGACCTCTCCAGATAGGCAGCACCTGTTTAGACCACTTACAAGCTCCATGCCCACCCATCCTATCGGTAAGGTGTTTAAAAAAAAAAATCCTTGCCATTATAAAAAAAAATGTACTTAAACTGGAATTTTTTAATCACTTTTAAAATTACTACATTTTTCTCACTTCCTTTGTGAATATCTTGTAATATGTTATGCTAATTTTTTTGTCAGTTATGGGGCTTGAACTCAGGGCCTGGGCACCGTCCTTGAGCCTCTCTGTGCTCAAGGCTAGCACTCTACCACTGGCCACAGAGCCATTTCCAGTTTTTAAGTGGTTAATTGGAGATAAGAGTCTCACAGGGATTTTTCTGCCTGAACTAGCTTTGAACAGCGATCCTCAGATCTCAACCTGCTGAATAGCTAAGATTACAGGCGTGAGCCACTGGTACTGGGCTCTAAGTCAATACATTTTTTAATTAGAACGGTAGTCTTTTTGATTCATTGGGAGTTTTTGTTTTTTAAATTCATTTTTAGAGGGTACTGAATTTAAGGCCTTGCACTTGCTAAGCAAATATCTAACTACTTGAGCCATGCCCCAGACCTGAAGAGTTTTTAATTAAGGTCATTCTTCTGGCTGGGTGCCATGGCTCACCTCTGTAACCCCAGTATTTGAGAGGTAGGATTGAAAGGAGCATAGCTCACTTTTAGCCCAGGGTAAAATTAGGAAGGCTCCATCTCAATGATAAGTCAGGCACGGTGGCAGATGCCATATGCGCAGGAGGCATAGGTAAGAACGCTGTGATCCAAGACTAGTTCAGACCAAAAACATGAGAGCCTATCTGAAAAATAAAACAAAGAGGGGCTGAAGGTGGAGGCTCAAGTGGCAAAGCACCTGACTAGCAAACATATTCTACTCTAATACCACAAAAAAACAAAAAAGGTCATTATTTTGCCCTAAGCATTATAACCTTATGTTTTCCTTAAAATATTGCCTGTTTATATCTACATACAACTTTCTGTGTGTGTGCCAGTCCTGGGGCTTGGATTCAGGGCCTGGATGCTGTCCCTGAGCTTTTGTGATCAAGGCTAGAGCTCTCTACCAAGTGAGCCACAAATCCACTTCTGGCTAGTTTTTGGGTACTTAATTGGAGATAAGAGGCACAAACTTTCCTGCCCAGGTTGGCTTCAAACCAAAATACTTAGATCTCAGCCTCCTGAGTAGCTAGGATAACAGGTGTGAACCCCTGTTATTTTTTTTAGAGATTTTTTTATGTATACTTTCAGCCTTACCATTTTATTTAGAAATTCCTTCTCATCTGAAGACCAAACAGTTTATATGTTCTTACTTTTTACACTAAATGTTTTACTATATCTCTCCATAATTTAGGGCAGAAATCTAACTGCTGTTATTTCCTTAAGTGGCCTGCCAACTACTAGTGTTTCCTCTGATCTGAAAATGCAGCTTTCTTGCCCTAGGGGATCATGGGATATCTGTAGTCCTGTCCTTCACCTCTTTTGTCCACTGCTACATCTTTTGAGTTTTCTTCCCACTGCTCCTAAGTATTTCCTACATTTATTACATGATATTTTAGTTCATTTAAGTCTGGTAGTGAATGTATTTTATTTTCCCTGGTATTTAAGACAGCCGTTAAAATACTGAGGGCAGCTCTTAGCTCCTAGAGACTGTTTTTGTTTTGCGGTTGTTTGTTTGTGTTCCTGACACATTTTCACACTGAATCAATATGACCCCCATGAGGCAGACACTAATACTTCCTATAAAGGTGGAAACACTTTTGGAAACTAATAACTTACCCAATATCGCAGTTAAATGATAATATGTTTGACACAACATTCTGCCATGTTCAAAAAAACAAAATCTCACCAAATACTCAGCTACTATTATTAGTTCCGATAGCAAGAAATACAAGCAAAACACATCCTCACTCCATGTGTTCTATATGACAAATAGTCACAGTTATCTGCTGTAAGCATCTATAGGTATTCATTTTTTAACACCTTCAAAGGGGCATTTTAAAACCGGAACAAACTGTTATGCCAAGGTCGCAGGACCCCCCCCCCCCAGGACTCCCCCTACCCCCCCGCAAGAAGACCACCAAGAGTCAGACTCTACAGCTGTTTTATTTAAACGGGCTGCAGCTCGGGCCTCGTCCTACACTCCGAGACAGCGGAGCCCAGGAGGAGAGCCCCAAGCTAAGGATTTGCAGGTCTTATAAAGGCACACAATCAGGTGGTTTAGCACCACGTGTTGCTCTGCTCTGAAACAAGCAACAAATGGTCACTGCCTCAAATACTCTAACATTTCAAAACCTTCTTTTTTTAGGGCTCTCAGACACTCCAAAATTCAAACTCCAAACTCTAAACTGTTTCTTCTTAATAATGTGCTCTATTGCAAGCTGTGATAACTTTTCTTCCTTTACAACATGTGCACCTCTCTTTTATTCTTCATCTGCTCCATCATTAGAACTCACAGAATGCAAGTGTTCTTCCTCTGAAAGCTGCCAGGCACTGGAGAAGCCTCTGGAGCAAGATTTCTATCACTTACTTACCCATTAAAAATCACCAAGCTCGAGCAGGTCCTCAGTGATGCCCAACACAGTATCCTGGCTTCTCTCCTGCTGCCTCTCCTCCTCCAGCCCTTTTCTCACTCTGGCTCAATCTTACCTAACCCATGGCATTTAGTGCTTCTATTTGGAGGCTCTTTCCTCAACTTTATACTTGGATGTCCAACTAACTACTGAACAAATTCATTTGGTTGTCTCCGATTGTCAAGATCCACATCATCCAAACTGCATTCATCTTTCTGCCTTCCTTAGAGTCCCCCATCCACTATGGAACATGATGAGATCATAGGTGATCATCCCCACATTTCTCCCCTTGCCCTAACAACTGATTAGTTATTGAGGCCTATGGCTGGAGTCATACTCTACCTTTCTCCATTACCACTGCCATTACCTTGGTCTAGGCCAGTCACTTTTCAAGTGAATTACTACAGAAGCCTTCAAAACTAATTTCTGAGCTAGGCACTGGTGGCTCCTATCTGTAATCCTAGCTACTCAAAGCCAGCCCAGGCACAAAAGTCCCTGTGAGACTCTCATCTCTAATTAACCACTCAAAAACTGGAAATGGCATTATGGCTCAAGTGGTAGAGTGCAAAGAGGCTCAGGAACAGCGCCCAAGCCCTGAGGTTCAAGCCTCACAACCAACAAAACAAAAACCAACAACAGAAAGAGAAAAAAAAACCTAACTTCCAAACCTCTAGGCTTGATCCTCTCAGAGCAAACCTTACATGGGCTCTACTCTTTTTCCCTCATGCCCCATGCTTTTTCCCTCATGTCCCTATGCTTTGCTGCAGTATCAGTAATATGTCAACTTCACCAGAACTACTGTACATTGGGCTAGTCGCTGCTAGGTTCCCAGAGTAACATATGACCATCCCTATCAAAAGCTCTGAACTTGCTTTTCCTTTAAGGTGAGAGTAACATATCACTCCCACCAGTACCATATCTGGGACACACCAGGACACCAGGTTTTTAAAGTTTGTAGGCGACAATGGCAGGCAATAGAGACTCCTTGTCTTAGTCTTTGTTCTAATTTTGAAAGCCTGTAGGTTTCAACATTAAATCGGACTCTTTTTTAAATCCTAGTTTACTGAATGAAGTATATACTCATAAATGAATGTTGGTTCTATCTTAAATGCCTAGTAGACACATTTTAAGATAATTTTATAGCTTAAACACCAAGACTTAAAACTTTCTACTATCCCATTTAGCCATGGATTGGTATAAATCTTGGAGTCAGCTCCTGGTTACTGAAACACCTTTCTGAAAACAACTTGCTAATATTCTATCCAGTTCTTTTATACCCCATATTCCCAAGAAACATTGTCCTGTGGCTTTCTTTCCCTTGGTTGGGTCTTTTTGCTACACAACCATGAGCTGAGTTTTCCTTCCACTTTTTTCAGTGTTCTAGAACAGTTGGAAATATTTCTGGAAGTGTTAGAAATTTGATTTATTCTATTTTTCCATGATTAGCCTGTTATGGTTTTCTTCTTCTTGGGTGAAATTTGCAATTTTGTTTTCCTAGAAACCAAATCCATCTCGTTCATGCATTTACTTTTTAATAAAATATCTGTTCTTATAACATTTTACAATTTTTAAATCTCCTCAATTCCCAAAGTATACTGGATCCTACCTAAAGTTGTATATAATTCTCTTTTCTTCAGTTTCCACTATAAGTTGTATGATCTTTCAAAGGATCATTTATTTCAAAGGGTTGCTTATGTACAAATATGACTGTGTTCCTTATGGTTCTGTTTCTATTTCATTATTTTATATTTAAATTGTCTTTTCTGTCTTTCCTCACACTCTACCAATTTCCAAAGCCAAGTGGCAGCTTAACAACAACAGTTGCATTTCTTTGGCGCTTACAGCTAGGCCTAGTTCTAAGTGTTTAATCTGTATTAATCTCAGTAAGCCTTTGCCATTAAAAAGGGAAATATAACAAATCTGATTGTGAAGCCAAAGAAACTAAGACTTAGAAAGAAAAGCTAATGATTGGCCCTAAATCAGTCAGATTCCAGAATGCTAGCCCTCGCTGCCATGACATAAGACCATCCAATTGCCTTCTGGATGTAGAACTGGTGTTTCAGGTGAAAGCAGTCTGGCTGTCCTTTTCCTAAAGAAAGTCCATCTGTAGCTAGGCTCTTTTTCCCTCTTCCCCAAAAAACAAGTAAATTGAAGGATAGAATTACAAATTTCCCAAGTTTTAAAAAAAAATATACCTGGAATGATACCTGGTCAGATAAATGTCTACCCCAGTGGAGATATATGGAGATTTCCCTACACAATCAACCTATCTGGAAATCAAGTCTATCTTCACATTAAAAAAAAAAAATCTAATGCAGAACTGGCTGCTTTACTTTTCCTCAGGTCATCCTGGCCATACTCAGAGCACATAGAAGACTTGGCATAGAAGACTTGACTACACAAACACAAAATCTGAATCTCAAGAGATAATCCTACAGCTTCTCCCAGCGTCAAGTCCTTGCTTACCTTCCAGACCTCTTATACTCTTTTTTGTAGGACCTTTCCAGAGATGGTGATCTTCGGTTGTCCCGGTGCCTGTGTCTCTCCCGTTCCCGCTCTCTTAAAGAAATTAATACACAAAGCTGTTAGCAACAGAAAGACTCAAAAATACCATGTCTTCACTAAGTTTACTTTCTAAATAAATGGACCATATCTAAGGATTTTTAAGGCAATACTGATTCTGAGGTCTTTTATGCTTCCTTAATTTATCAGAGAAAAAGGAAAGAAGCTGGGTGCTAGTCCTAGCTACTCAGGAGGCTGAGCTCTGAGGATCATAGTTCAAAGCCAGCCCAGGCAGAAAAGTCCATGAGATCTAGTTCCAAAAACTATGAACCATCAAAGAAAACCAGATATGGAGCGGTAGCTCAAGCAGTAGAGTGCTAGCCTTGAACAAAGACGCTCAGGGATAAAACTCAAGATCCAGGACCAGTACCAACAAAAAAGGAGGCTCTCTGTAGAAGTTCACTTGACAACTGTTCATGTTTTCTTTGAAGAAATTATGCTTTAGACTAAGTAATAAAGGAATTTTTATCATATTCTTGTAATTAGCAAATTCTTGCTTATTTAAAGGGCTCTCCTATTGATTTCTATGCATCTATGAAATAAATACAGAATAAAACCTTTATAGTAAAGATTAGGATAAGGTTCTATTTAAAAAAAAAAAAAGTAGTGAGGGGATGGGCATCAGTGGCTCATGTCTGTAATCCTAGCTACTCAGGAGGCTGAGATCTGAGGAGCAAGGTTCAAAACCAGCTCAAGCAGGAAAGTCCATGAGACTCTGATCTCCAATTAACACCAAGAAACCAAAGTGGAGCTGTGGCTCAAAGTAGTAGAGTACTAGTGTTGAACACAAAAGTTGAGGGACAGTGCCCAGGCCCTGAGTTCAACCTCCACAACTAACCAAAATAAAGAGCACTGAATCCTTCTCTTACACACAGTGTAGTTCTAAGCTACGAATAATAACCTGCCATAACACAGTCAACTGACTGCTGTTTCTTTTTTTTTACTTTTTATTTACTTTTTATTTGGAGTTTCATTCTTTTAAGTAAACATAAACAGTATAATCATTTTTTAAGAAAATACCATAAATGTAGACACTGGGTTTACCTTCCATAAATATAAAAATGAGGATTTTTTTTCTGAATGAGGAATTTTTTAAACCACCCAATGCAAAACTGGAATACAATAATTTCTGAGTCTATTTAATAAGTACAGTGAAGATCTAGGGAAAAGTCTGAATTCATGAATCTGAATCAGAAGTTCAAAACTAAGGACGTAAACCCCCCTCCCCACCATTTACAACAAATACATCCATCCAGACCACAGGCTGAGCATCCCTTAGCTAAAATGCTGGAACCAGAAATGTTTGAGGTTTGGGGGTTTTCTGGATTTTGGCATATTTACGCAAATCTTACCAGTTGAATATCTGAAATATGAAATATTCCGAATTCCAAAATTCTTTGACAGTGACATACAGCTCTCAAATAGCTTTATATTTTGGAGCACTTTGAATTAGATTATCAGATGAAATACCATCAACGAAAGACAATAAAATGTCTGAACTCAAAAGCATCCCCAAACTTACATCCAAATGGAAAAAATGTTAATATGGTGCAATCAAAACTGCAGTAATTGCTTAGAAATTAAGACTCAAAATTATTTCTCACTTGGAGATTCCCCCATTCTCAAGAAAGATTCCTTTTAACAATACATAACCTTCTGGTGCACACCACCTGTCCAAAATAAAACACACAACTTGGAGACCACATTCTCTGACTGATGAGTTTCTAAGACAATAGTTTCCACTTAGGTAGTAATCTCTATTCTAGAGATTTAAGTGGATGATAGCATGTGTCAAAACTATAACGTAATTTATAATGACATAGATGCTAAAAGATAACTGCCTATATTTTTAAAAAAAAAGAATACATGGAGGATAATTTTAAGTTTTGATGCTTTTTAACAGCTAGCCAATAGGATTTTACTTTTTAAAATGTATTTTTTTAATGTCAATATTGGGACTTGAATTTGGCCAGGGCAGTGTCCCTGAGATTTTTTTGTGCTCAAGGCTGACACTCTACTTCAGGAACCATAGCTCCACTTGCAGATTTTTGGTGCTAATTAGAGATCAGAGTTTTACAGACTTTCCTGCCCTAGCTGGCTTTGAACTGCAATCCTCAGATCTCAGTCTCCTGAGTAGCTAGAATTACTTGTGTAAGCCACTGTTGCCTGGCAAGAATGATACTTTTAATGATTGTTCCTCTAATGGGCAGAAGTTTAAAGTCCAATTTGGACACCAGTAACACTGTGAGTCCGTTTCAAGCATTAAGCACAGAATGCTAGCTCTACGCGCTTACTGTTAACAGGTCATCCATGGGGACTCCTACAAGGTAGTAAGTACTACTCAGCTGGGCAAAGCCCACAGCATGCTTCCTCGTCACTGTAGAGCAGAATGCACAGGGTATACACCGACAGCTATTTCCTTTCCCATCTCCTGGAGTCATCTTGATCGCTCATGGTATCCAATACACAAACATACACATCCACTTCTTTTTTTTTTTTTTTTGTCGGTCATGGGGCCTGAACTCTGGGTCTGGGTGCTGTCCCTCAGCTCTTCAGCTCAAGGCTAGCACTCTACCACTGGAGCCACAGCACCACTCCTGGCTTTTTCTGCTTATATGGTGCTGAGGAATCAAACCCAGGGCCTCATGCATGCAAGGCAAGCACTCTACCACTGAGCTACTTTCCCAGCCCCAGACATCCACTTCTTAACAAGACTTTTTATGAAACAGTGCACTCTTGCAGTTGATATTCAACCATGGTTGAAGAAGGAAAATGAAATTTGCAAAAGGTCAGATTCATTGACACTAAGGATAGAAACAACAGAGGACAAGACTACAGAATCTGCATAAACTTAACACAATGTGTGCAAATGTGAGGAGTTTCAGTGTTGCTATAATTTATGTGTAAGTTATAGCAGGGCCTCATGTGCCCCAAATTTGACAGAAACATTGTATATATATCACAGATAACTGACACTCCACTGGGACTCCAAAGGCTGTGGCTGTACCAACAAGGCAGCTGCAGGACAATATGCCCTCAGCACGTTATAAAACACTTCCATTCTAGTGAAAGAGCAGCTGAGGAGGACAGAGGTTCTTCACAGGTAAGAAGTCTCGTTCAGGAGAGATAACACGTAGTCTCTCACAGCACCTGATTTACTAGGAGACATTCCCCAGTGTATGGACACATGTGAGTTTCTTCAAATAAACACAGAACTCACCGTTGAAGTCTCAGTGGAAGAATTTGGGATGTATAGCACAGCCCTGATGACTGCTCTAAATGAGAGGGGAAAGAAATGCTACCTAAAGCTTTTGCAGCATCATGCTGTCCCAAAGACAGTTAATAGCAATCATTTTAGCTTTTGAAGGCAACTATTTACAAACTCTTTCACATTGATTCTCACTGTACAATTGTAAAATAAACTGTAACATGTGCCAAATGGTTCATCACAGAGTTATGAACTGTCTAGAAACAGCAGTTCAGGCTACAAATAGATTTTTTTTTTATAAGGCTACAGACTCTCAGCCAGCCTAGCCTACCAGAAATCAGTCACCTCTACAGGAAGTTCCCTTCCACCTTCCATTAGGCCACAGAGACAGAAAGGCACAACATGCCTTTCTGAACATGCCTTTCTGAGCAAACCAAACCTTCTGAGCAAACCAAACACTCTTCACAACAGAGAATGACTACTGTCATTTACTGACAAAATATTTGGTCTGAATCAAACCAATACAGCCATAAGGAAAATAGGCAAACCAAATTGGGAATGGATTCCTATCCTTAGATTGTATATATACAACAGAAGGTAAACCCACTCTACAAACCCACCAAGTATAATGGCTGGCTTGGGGATCTTCACTACATTTAACACCAAAGTCCCTAAAATGAATAAAGGTAAACACAAAAGACAATAAACACACTCAAGGGGAAAGAAAGCAAAATGCCATTTCTACTTGACAACCAGAATACCTCTAATCTTCATGGACACAGAGTTCATTGAAGGTACCAGTTCAACACAAAACAATCGTTTTGTGTCCTTTTACTTTTCAGTGCAAACCAACGGTTCTTAGCTTTCTGACCTAACAAACTCATACTCACTTCTTTAAATATCTGCTTTAAATTTTTCCGAGAAACACATATGTAAACATAAAATTTTGCATGTGAATTCAGTTTCTAGAAGCCCATCTGGAATCCCAGTTTTAAGAATGACTACTTAAGGGCTGGGATATATAGCTCAGTGACAAAGTGCTTGCCTACCAAGTACAAGGTCCTGGTTTCCATCCCCAATACCAAAAAAGACCAAAACAACATAGTTTAAAAAAAAAAAAATGACTGTATGAACTGTGTCTTGTACTAACAAAAAATAAACCAAAAACCCATAAAACTCATAAACCTAGAATAGAATGGTTCTTTCCCTTCCCCCACCCACCCTCTACCTCCCTTTGGGTCCTGGGGCTTGAACTCTGTCTAGGTGCAATCCCTGAGCTTTTTTTCTTTTTCTTTTTGCTCAAAGCTAGTGCTCTTTTAGTAGAGCCATGAGTCCACTTCCAGCATTTTGGTGGTAAACTGTAGTCTCATGGACTTTCCTGCCTGGACTGGCTTCCAACTGCAGTCCTCAAATCTCAGCCTCCTGAATAGCTAGGTTTACAGGTTTGAGCCACTGGGACCCAGCAACAATGATATTTTTTTAAACACAATTTTGCTAAGATGACTACATTCAGTGGCAACAAAATAGGCTAAAAGCTATTTTGCAAGAGGTAACCTGGACAACATGTAACTAATCTTACTTCATTTTGTAAATAAAGCCAGACAGCAACAATGTTCAAGGCACTTTACCCAAAAAACAGAAAGAAAGAAAGGAAAGAAAGAGAGAAAGAAAGAGAAAGAGAGAGAGAAAGAAAGAGAGAGAGAGAAAGAAAGAAAGAGAGGGCTGGGAAGGTGACTCAGTGGTAGAGCGCTTGCCTTGCATGCCTGAGGCCCTGGGTTCGATTCCTCAGCACCACATAAGCAAAAAGAAAAAAAGCCGGAAGTGGCGCTGTGGCTCAAGTGGTAGAGCACTAGCCTTGAGAGCTGAGGGACAGTGCCCAGGCCCAGAGTACAGGCCCCACGACCGGACCCAAAAAAAAAAAAAAAAAAAAAAAGAAAGAGAGAGAAAAAGAAAGAAAGAGAGAGAGATCTCAAAGCAAGTTCTACCTGAACTGTTTTGATTCCTGATTGATAGAAAACACATGCAGGTCACCAATTCCAAGAGAACTCAGATTCTGTAACCAGAGGATGACGTTCACCTGAGCACAACTAGGTCTTCCATCACACCAAAAGCCAGCGCCAGATCACTCATGCCATGGATCACCGGGGAAATGTCAACCGTGTTTAAGCAGAGGTTTTATTTAAAAAGGACTTCTGGTGGATTCCGTCGTTTTCCTGACCACCTATCCAAGCGCATCCCTGTCCTTTTACAAATGAAGCCGCGCGAGCTGGCTGTCTGGCTTACAGCAGGACGTGCGCCTCGACCCTCCGGACGGCCCGCGGTGGATCACGCGCGCACGCGCGCGCAGGCACGCGCACGGGTGCGCGCCCTCACCTGCTCCGCGCGCGCGCGCCCTCACCTGCTCCGCTCGTAGCTGCGGTGCCGCGGCGGCGGCGTGCGCCCTCGGTCGTACTCGGAGCGGTAGCGGCTGTCGGGTCTCCTCCGGTCGGGGCTGCGGCCGCGCTCCCGGCGCTCCGGGGACCGATGCCTCTCCCCGCGCCCGTGGCTGTGGTCTCGTGGCCGGTGATCGTCGTAGTGCTTGAGGCGCTCCGGGGAGCGGCGCTCGCTGGGAGCCTTGGGGAGCGGGTAGGGAGGGAGGTGCCTGAAGTGGGGGCTGCTGCTGCTGCTGCCGCTGTTGCTGCCGCCGCCGCCGCCGCCGCCGCCGCCGCCGCAGGCGCTGGGTGGGAAGGCGCCGGGGCTGTTCTGGAAACTGTGGAAGCTGGGCGGGGGGAAGCTGTGGTGCGAGTACCCCGGGGGGTACTGGTAACCGACCTGCTGCGGCAGGACGGGCGGCGGCGGCGGGTGGGGCACGGAGGGCGGGGGCATCATGAAGGGGAAGGTGCCCTGCCCCGGGGGGGCCCCGGGGGCCGGGGGGTTACTCGGACAGGGCACGGGCGGGGGCACGGGCGGGAAGCAGGGCGGCACGGGGAAGGGGTGCCGCATCTGGTGGCCGGGGAAGGGGGGCCTGACGGGGCACGGGGGGAGGGGGCCTTGCGCCGACGGGGGAGCGGGGGGCGGGAAGGGCACAAAGTCCGGGCGCGGAGGCAGGAAGTTGGGGGCTGGAGAGTTGGAGAAGGTGGCGGAGGGGGCGCTGGGAGGTTCGTAGGGGTACTGCGCGGGCGGCTGCTGAGGGTGAAGCAGCCTCAGGTTCTGGGGTCTGAAGGCCGGGGCCGAGGGTCTGGCTCCAAGTCCCCGGCCCCGGGGACAGCCTCGTCCCGGGTGGAACGACATCCTGTGACTGCGTGAGAGGAAGGAAGAAGGAAAAAGTTAATTTAAAAGGGCGGGGGGGGGGGGGAAGAAGGGAGGGGGGGAGGGAGGGAGGGAACCCCCAGTAAACAGGGATTGATAAATGCCCACCATCCCCCTTAGTGAGGCGGCGCTCATCCTTACTAGCTTCCTTCTAGTATCTGAAACTCTTTATGGCCAATAAACTGCCCTGTCTCAGTCACCCAGCATCTCAACGACTTTTTCTTTTAATAACCTAAGTTCCTCTTCTGTGCTCTACAGTCACCAAACTCCTGATGACAGCTCCATCTTAGAATTACCTAACGAAGTGAACTGTTTACCAATACCTAAGTGGGCAGACAGGTGCACATCTGAATTCCTTCACAGGTTCTGCCAAGACATCTCTGGTGCATTCCAGCAGCCAGTTCACCCTTAACTGCCACACAGTCTCTCTAGGCAACCTTCCTGACATCCTGATCCCCGGACAGACACAGGCAACAAGAACCTTGCCCGCTACCAAACGGAAACACCAATGCCACAGTAGAGCTCTCTCGCTGGTTCTGCCAATTCACCAAGCCTATTTGCATCTAATTTCATCCTGCACCAGTTCCTTTGTCTTGATTAAGCCTAGCCTGCCACACTCTGGATCCCATCCCCAAACGTCCTGAAATCCATGGTCATTTTCCGCCAGCTTATATGTGGAGCTTTTGATCCCAATACCCCTTCCCTGGTGGATGATACTGCCTCTGTGTTCTTCCTTCCTCTCCAGCTCTTTCTCCTGGCAGTCTTCTGTGCCAGCTCCTATTGTGCTAGGAGATTTCTACCTTGTAGTATTCTTCTTGGATCCAGCCTGGAAACCTGCTCATCCTCTTCTAAAATGACTCTACCTCTGGCATCACTTCAGTGACCACCCAGGTATCAGTTACCTCTCTGCTCATCAACTTCAAAGCTCTACTAGATCCAGAATGCCAACTGCCAATTCAACCTCTCTCCTTAACTCAGGATCTCATCCCTCCACAAATACAACTTAGCATATCTGAAAAGGAATGAACGGTCTTCCCCTCTAAATCAACATTTCCTTTCTTTCTCAGTGGTTCCTATCCCAATAAGTGAAGCAATGTATTGATCCTCAAGATATGAACCAGGGAAATCATCTGAAAACATATTCTCCATCATTTTTTATTACAAATGTATTCTAGGATGGGCATGGCACATAATTATAATCTCAGATACTCAGGAGGTGGAGACAAAAGTTTGTGGTTAGGGGCTAGCCTGGGCAAAAGTTAACAAGACATTATCTCAAGAACAAGTGAGGTTGGGATGGGAAGGTGGCTCAGTGGTAGAGCACTTGCCTTGCATGCCTGAGGCCCTGGGTTCGATTCCTCAGTACCACATAAGCAAAAAAAAGAAAGCCGGAAGTGGTGCTGTGGCTCAAGTGGTAGAGCGCTAGCCTTGAGCTGAAGAGCTGAGGGACAGCGCCCAGTACCAGAGTTCAGGCCCCACAACCAGACCAAAAAAAAAAAAAAGAACAAGTGAGGCATGGTATCACATGTCAGTAGTTCCACTACTCTGGACGCAGATGTAAAAGTGCCAGGGTTCAAGGTCAAGCTGGTCAAAGGGAACACAAAACTCTAGGGGGAAAACTAAAAGAAAGACTCCAGATGCTGGGTGCCCATGGCTCATGCCTGCAATCCTAGCTACAACTGTGATCTGAGGAACGCAGTTCAAAGCTAGGCCAGGCAGGAAAGTCTCCAATAAATCACTCAGGAAACACCGGAAGTGGCGCTGTGGCTCAAGTGGTAGAGTACTAATCTTGAGCACAAAGAGGCACAGAACAGCACCCAAGGCCCTGAGTTTAAGCCCCAGGACCAGCAAAAAGAAAAAAGACTACAGATGTAGCTCAAGTGGCCCTGAGATTAATCCCTGGTGCCAATATTAATTATAACAAATAAAATTGTGACTAATTAAGCAGGACAGGGTTCTGGGATATTGGGGCTTGAATTTAGGACCTTGAGCTCATTTGACTTTTTAGCTCAAGGCTAGCATTCCACCACTTGAGCCACACCTCCATTTCCAGCTTGTTCCTAGTTAAATAGAGATGAGAGTTTCTGGGGCTTTTGCCCAGGGCTGGCCTCCAACCATGTTTCTCAGATCTCAACCTTCTGAGTAGCTGTGCTTACAGACATATGTCACTAGTGCAGAGCTAGTCTGACATGTTTTTTGTTCTGGTCTGTGTAGATCCCTGTCTACCCTGTACATGAACTTCCTTTGTATGGTACCACTACTGAAAGAATGACTATGCTTACCACTCTTTCCATGTAGCTAAGTCCTTTTGCTCACTATAGCCTAACACCTGCTTTGGCCTCTTGCTCTGTCCTAAGCAATTGCCAGTCCTCTCACACCACTCACCATGTACTGCCTTGCATCATGATATACTGTCTGCATATGTCACATCTTCCACAGACAACATAAGTTCTACAAGACAGAAAGAATATTTATAAACATATTTTCCAAACTATAAGTGCTAGAAAACACTTGTGCATTTATCTTAGTACTGATTTTAAATTCCTCAATGTACTTGCCCATGAATAAAATTAGGAGCATAGTGGACTATATCCAAGTTTCCAAATAAATTTCTACATGTCATTACTACTTGTATCATTAATTCAAAATGATCAGTTGCTAAAAAGACTGAAATACAGTCATAATCCATCCTTCACTTACTAAAAGATTAGGAGGAAAATCCTTTCCTCTGACCCCTCTTCTTTCCTCTCCTCATTCATTGTAAAATACAATAGGCATGGGCCACAAACAGCAGTACCAGGTTCTAAATCCCAACTACTAGATGCAAGTAGAAGGATACTGGTTCAAGGCCAGCTTGGGCAAAGGTAGTGTAGACCCTATCTGAAAAAATAAATAACCTAAAAAGCAAAAGGACTCAAAGGGCAAACACAACGCCCTGAATTCAATTCCCTATGTATATCAAATAAGGTAAACAGAAATCAAACATAAAATCACAGTGAAGCTAGGCACTGTAGCTCACACCCGTAAACGTAGCTACTCAGGAGCTGAGATCTGAAGATTACAATTCAAAGCCATTCCAGGCAGGAAAATCCATGAGATTCCTATCAAAAAGCCAAAAGTGAGTTGTGGCTCAAGGGTAGAGCACTAGTCTTGAGTATAAACGCTCAGGGACAGCACACAGGCTCTGAGTTCAAGCCCCAGGACCAGCACCAAAAATAGCAACATTAGCATTCAAATTCAAATATAACTGTATAATAGTTTTATTAATACAGCAGTTTACTTTTATCTTCAACACTTCCCATAGTAGAGTTTTGTAAACAGACTTTCCAAATACTTGAACTTTTAGCAAAATATTATACAAAAAAAAGCTCATTAAGTGAAAAAAAAATATAAAAATATCTTCTAAAATCTTTTTAACTCAAAATCTATGAATAGTCTAGATTTTCAAATGAGTCACAAAATAATTTCAGATTACTGAGCTTTAGCAATTATAAGTTTAGTAAATAGTAGATGCCAAATAATGTGATTAATAGATTATTACTCATTTCTGCACTGTTAGGATTAAATGTGGAGTCCACAAGTTTACTAGTTGCCAAACGAATCAAAGCCACTTATAATTTCTAAGGCCAACAGGTCCTTCTGGGCTTATTTTCCAATACATCTCTTACAAAGCCCCTCCTCCTCAGGTTTTCCCAAATAGCATAGCAAGTGGTAACATTCAACTTCTCCTCTGTTCCCAAGTCTCTCAAATGCCACCTCCTCTACAGAGTCCTTCCAGATTCCCTTTGGGAAGTAATTCCCTGCTTAGCTGTTACCTACTTTTTTCCCAGTACTCACCAGACACTGCCTCCTATGATGGTCATGGGTGCACAAGGCTAGCTCCTCCACTAACTAGTTCATTACTTCTTGATAACATGGGTTGGTTTGCAATTATTTCTGTGTCCTTCACAGTCTCTGGCCGAGTAGGTAGTCAATAAATTGTATTGTCTCATCGATGCAACACAGCCTGCAGAACTCAAGTAGCTCAAAACTTCACACACGAACTTTTCTTAAACACAATATCCCCAACACTGCAAGAAGTAAAAAAATAAAACAATATAAAAGTAATGTAGCAAACACAAGGAAAGAGGTTTGTGTGTTCAGGGCCTAAGGGAACACAAAGAGCTTCAGCATTCTGAAGCTAGGGGTGAACAGCAGTTAGGATAATTAAGATTCTTTGATAATGTGTAATAATTGAACACTCGCTAGCAGACCGTCCTGGATGGTTCTTTTAGAAAGCCTGATCATGATATTCACAGTCAGAGTCAGATGTGGAGGCAATCTACATCTGTGTTGTAGATACAATCTGTAATCCAAAAGTCAAGGGACAGCACACTGGCTAATGGCAAAGTAAATTATTTCTGTCTCTACCCACTCCTAGGTTGCTATTTTGAAAGCAGAAAAGAAGAAACTGCGTTGCAAAGTGTGACTATGCTTTTACCGAGAGCCCCTTCCTCCCGGGTGGCTCTGCATCCCCGCCACCTTCGCCAGATGATCCGTGACTTCGAGTTTACATCTCCCGCCAGCCTGTGGCCCCCACGAGGCAAGCGCTGAGCTCCCGGTCCCGCTCCTTTCCAGGCCCCTGGTGACCCCAGGGCTGGGTCACCGCGTGCGCCCCACAAATGAATGAAAAGCATCGTTTTCCACGGCTACCTCTCCGCGGGATCCAGGCCCGGGGGTCTCTCGTTTGCCCTCCGCTGTAGATCTGAACAAGGAGCTGCAGGATCCCAACTCCCGGACGCCCCAGCCCTGCGCCCAGAGCTCCAGCCCTGCTGAAATCCGGACACCGGGACACACTCAACCCGGCCAACACCTGCCAAGCGCCCCGTTTACTTACCAAAGAGCCGCGCGGTCACCATCGGAACGAAGCCCGGCTGCGATCGCGACCGCCAAGACAGTGGCGCCGCCCGCGCCTCCGGAACAGGAAACCGAGGGAATTATGAAGCAAACCTGAGAAAGCTGGGCCCAGGGAGGGGGAAAAAAACCTCTTGAGCTCCTGCAGCGCCTAGTGCACGATGATTGGTGCATCGACGAGAGCGATGGACATTTAGACCAATCGTTCGCCGAGGAACGTCTGACGCCCGCCCCCTCCCTTACGCTAACATCTTCCAATCCGGAAGCGCAACCGGGTGAGCGCGCGTTTCCGCCGGGAGAAGGCGGCGGGTCGCGGCCTGAGCCTCCCGGGGTCCGCGCTGGGCACCGCCGGCACCGGGCCCAGCCGACCGGCGGGCGCCCAGACATGAGTGACTCCGCGGGAGAGGGCGCTCGCCTCCGGCGCTATCCCGAGCTCCCGGTTTGGGTGGTGGAGGATCACCAGGAGGTGAGCGGGCTTCTCCCCGGGGCCGAATCCCCCGGAGTCCGGGAGGTGGAGGACGTCCGTGGCAGAGCGCTTGCCTAGCGCGCTGCAGTCCTGGGTTCGATTCCTAGTACCCCAAGAAACCTCTTGTCTGCGGGGCTCAGGGTCCTAGACCTGCCCGCCCCCCCCCCCCCTCGGCATCCCTGTCCTCAGCTCCCGGCAGCGGCCATAGGGACAGGAACCCCAGAACACACCGTCTTCCCATCTTTTGACAAGGAGCCCGACGTTTATGAACCGTGAAAGGGGTTTGTGGCTGCTTCATAGCAGGCAGTTGGTCCTTGGTCTAGACTTCTGGATGCCAAGAAGAGAGACCCATGGACCTAAGAAATTGGTTTAAAAGTAGGGTGAATAAGCCATGTAAAAGAGGAAGAAGACCAGGAAAAAAGGAAGAGAGAGAGGGAAAGAAGAAGGAAGGAAGGAAGGTAGGAAGGAAGGAATCAATCCAGGGAGCCTTGAACATGCAGCTAGTCATGGGCCTTGACTAGGTGTTCTTAGTCCTGATGCATTTTCTTGCACAGTAGAATTCGGTACTTTCCACTTTTTTACAATTTAGCATGCTTCATATATGTGGCGTTTTACTTAACATTATATATTTGGAATATTTGTTCATGGTTTCCACGCCACATCTGAATGTGTGTCTGTCTCTTACAGGTTCTGCCTTTTATATACCGAGCCATAGGCTCAAAGCATCTTCCTGCAAGTAATATAAGATTTTTACATTTTGACTCACATCCAGACCTTCTTATTCCTGTGAATATGCCAGCAGACACGGTATTTGATAAGGAAACACTCTTTGGGTAATGTGATTTTGTTGTTGTTGTTGTTAGCAGTTTTTCATATATTTAAAATACAATGTATAGTAGAATAATTAAGGGAATTAAACTTGCTAAGCTCATGGGTTTATGTTTTCCTTCCTGATTTTATTTAGAGCAATATTGACAAACTCTTTCTTTGGGCTACATAGGAACCAGCCATGGTGGCTCATAGCTGTAATTCTAGCACTCAGGATGGTGGAGCAGGAAAATCTCAAATTTGAAGTCAACCTGGGCTACATGGTGAGGTCAAGGCCATTTCGTATTGCCGTATGACCACATATTAAAAACCTTTTTCAAGGGAAGGTTAAAATAAATCCAGACAGTAAACATGGTAGGGTTTTCTGGCCATATGTCTGAGTTCCAACAAAACAAGAAAAACAGTAACATCTGTGTTGCTGACCTCTAACTTAGAATGTAGAATTTTAGAAGAAACTTCAAAACTAATCTGACAGTCAAGCTCATGCCTGTAATATTAGCTACTCAGAAGGTGACAGCCATGGCAGAAAAGTCTACTAGACTCCCATCTCTAAAATAGCCACCATAGCAGGGCTGGAGGATGGCTGAAGTGGTAGAGCACCAGCCTAACAAATTTGAGGCCCTGAATTGAAACCCCAGTACTGTGTAATCTAAAGAAGTTCTCCCTTGCTCTTTAAATCTGAAGCTAAAGTAGAAAAAAAGATGCTAAGCACAGTTGTATTAGCAACACATCCCTAATTTGTATATTTTTCTTTTCAGTATGGAATCCTGCCTCAGTTCCTCTTCAGGGCCAAACTCCTGTTGGTTTACAGTTTTATAGAATCAAAATGAATCATTCATCATCTGTCCTCTAGGAAAGATTGTAACTAATAGAGTTCTACATAACAACATCCTGCTGCTTTTCTGCAGTGAAGTTCCCTGAAACTGTCACTGTCTCTTCTATACAGACAGTGTTATTAGATTACTTGCAATCTATTGCATTTCTTTTTCCAAAACCTCCAACTGAATTGGAGGTTCTTAATAATTAATTAATTAATTCTTAAAGAAATGTGATTGCTCTGCCATTGTCCTACCCTTCTATATTGAGACTTTCTGTATTTTAGAAGTTAAAAAGGAAGGTAAAGTATGAGGGGAGAAGATTGGTTAGGAAAGATGGGAGAAATTATGAAAGTAGTGACATTGACTAAGACGCATTGTGCTTATAGAAACTGATTTGAATGGTAACCCCTTTGTGCAGCTACTTAAACATAATGAAAATATTTTTTAAAATACTATAAAGGACATATTTTTTAAAGTACTATAAAATACCGTAATTGGTCCTTGAATAATGGTTCTTAAATGTTTTAGCCTCATGATTCCTTTGTAATCTTTTTTTTTTTTCCCCCACTCCTGGGGCTTGAACTCAGGGTCTGAGCACTGTCCCTGAGCTTCTTTTGCTCAAGGTTAGCACTCTACCACTTGAACCACAGCACTACCTCTGGCTTTTTCTGTTTATGTGGTACTGAGGAATTGAACCCAGGACTTCATGCATGCTAACAAGCACTCTACCACCAAGCCACATTCCCAGCCTCCTTTGTAATCTTAAAATTCAAGTTGATGTTTAATATAAGTTATATTGTCTTTGTTACATGGAATTAAAGTAATAATTGTTTAAAATATTGTAAAAAGAAAAGGAATATAAGGAAAATGATACTGCAAACATAATATGTTGCAAAACAAACTAGTGGGAAGAATAGCATTGCTTATTGCAAATACCTTTGTTATTTTATATGGAAGACAACTTGGTTCTCCTAGCCATATCCAATATGTTGATTATGTTGTTCTGGTTGATGTGTATGATGAAAATTCAAGCTCTTATAACTTACGATTGGAAATGGAAAGAGTGTTGTCATAGCCTTTTCAGATAACTGAATATTATTTGATCCTATACAACACTTGACAAGTGATAGTTTCTTCAATAAGTTTAGTTGAAATATGAAATCCAACAATTCAACTTTAAGTCTAAATAACTATAATTTATTGGTCACTATTCCTTACAAGAAAGTGGTGCTCAGCTCAAGTCAGTCACACATGCCTTTCCTTGAACTACCTTTTGGTTCATAGTGCACAGCAGAAGTGATTTCTGTACATTTCTTTTTTGTGTGACAGAAAATGTGTTTAAGTGTATATTTAGAATCAAGAATGAATACCTTAAGGAAATTCTGCAATGAAACTTTTTTTTTTGGCTAGTGTTTTGGCTAGTGTTTCTCAGTGAAGCATAAAATGACTCCCGTGGGGTTGGTGCTGCCTAGGACATGAGCCCACCAGTGTTTTTCCACAGTCAGTGCAAATACTAACACAGTGGAAGAAAAAATGACATCTTCATGAAAATAGTATTAACCTAGTGATCATTCTGTGAAAAGGTCTCAGGAACCTCCTCAAGTAGATGAAAGGATATTGGGAAGGAAGGGGAAGCACTCTCTAATAATTCTGATGTTTCTTCTCTATTTCTTTTGCAGAGAGTTAAGTATTGAAAATTGGATTATGCCTGCAGTTTATGCCGGCCATTTTTCTCATGTAATATGGTTTCATCCCACGTGGGCTCAGCAAATGGCAGAAGGCAAACACCACTTTTTAGTAGGGAAAGACATTTCTACCACAACAATCAGGTAATTTCCTCGTAGTTAAGTATGAAAAGGGCTGAATACGTTTATGTTTGGGCTCCTGTAATGTAATAACATTGTAAATATCCCTGTATACAAATAAGGTCAGATTAAAACCTCACTCCTTTAAAATGGGTTCTTGAAACACCAGGACACATTTTCAGCTCTTGACCTCTTTCATTTCATCCTCTGGAATTCAGACTCCATTAAGTCATTGAAATACCTTGTACATTTATATATTCAATAGGACATTTTCCTATTGCCTTCTAACCTAACTGTTGTGTATCGAATTTCACAATGAGGAATGAGACAATGAAATGTCTCACTGCTTTTCTTCTAATATATCCAACAAGTAAATAGGGAGGTTTTAGAGTTTAATTTCATAAATATAATTAGTTTGGAGTTCTTTTTTATATTTTTTATTGTAAAAATATTGTACAGAGGGCTTACAGTTACATGAATAAGGGAATGAGTACATTTCCTATTGAACATTGTTACCCTTCCTTTGTTTTCCCCCAACCATCCCTACTATCCTCCCCAACTCCCCCACCCCAAGTTTGGAGTACTTAACCCAAGTTATTATCAAATCCTCTGAATCCTCTGAGTGAACTGGTGGCTCACTCCTGTGATCCTAGCAACTTGGGAAGCTGAGATCGTAGTATCATAGTTCAAAGCCAGAGCCAGCCTGGGCTGAAAAGCCCCTAAGACTCTTATTTCCAATTACCAACCAAAAACATCAAATAAGATAATAGAAGTAGAGTTGTGGCTGCAATGATGCTATGCTAGACTTGAGCCAAAAAGCTAAGGGACAATACCTACGCCTTGAGTTCAACACCCAGTATTGGCACAAAAACAAAAAATCCTCTGTCTTAAGTTACATGTACATCTGTTTTTATTGTATATTTAGCCAGTATTCTCTGTGCTTGTAATGCTGTAGTGTCTTTAGAAATACCTATTGTTAACTTTCAGATTCTCTTGTATAGGATAAATTGCAGGTTTGAGGGGGAAGGGGGAGGGGGGACATGCTAGTCCTGGAGCCTGAAGCCAAGGCCTAGACACTGCCCCTGAGCATTTTTCCTCAAGGCTAGTGCTCTACCACTTGAACTACAGCTCCACTTCTGGCTTTTTTAGTAGTTTATTAGAGATAAGAGTCTCACAAACTTTACTGCCCAGGCTGGCTTCAAACCACAAATCCTCAGTTCTCAGCCTTTTGAGTAGCTAAGGTTCTAGGTATAAGCCCTGGCACCCAGCTGGCGTGAATATTTTAAGCAGTGTAACCACAGCTATCTAGAACCTAAAGGATAATGGGATAAGATTAAAATACATTGAAAATACAATATAATAGTCTCACTGAAAATAATGTTTTATTTGTGATTTAATTTTAATAATTCTCTAAACTTTGGTAGTATAGTTCACTTCATTTGCACAAATATCTTTCTTTTGTATATGAACATTGTATTTCTTTATTAAATAACTTGAAAGGAATAATTAGAATCCAACATATAATAATTGTTGTACATAACACTGGTCTCTATGAAAGAGTGGATTTGACTACTTAAATGAGAAGGCTTAATTTAACCTGCAAAGTCATATAATTTTATATGATCTAACACAGACGTTTGAAACTCAATTTGTGGTGACAATTGAAGAGATGTTTATGTTCACATGTTTTTAGTTAACCCTTCAAGTAAAAATTTATGGGAGAGACAGTGAATTTAGACAGGCAGTCTGAGATTATGTGTGTGCTTATAATAAGTAAGAACATGGTAAACCTTCCATTATTAAAAAATAGAAATTTAGGGATGCAGTGTGCCTCAGTTGGTAGGTAGAGTACCTGCCTACTTATTGTGAGGCCTTGGACATAAAACCCCAGTATAGCCAAAAGAGAGAGAGAGAAAGAAGAACGAAGGTAATAAGAGAGGTAGGGAGGGAAGTAAAAGGAGAGAAGGAGGGAGGGAGAGAGGAAGGGAGGGAAAAAGGAAAGGGAGGAAGGAAGGAAGGAAGGAAGGTAGTTAATACATTTAGGTAGAAGATACAGTCTTTGTTCGCTTTCGGATTGCACAGATTTTAATAAGCTTACACATTATTTTCATTGAGTCATTAATCTTTTGGGGAAGTATCTGATGTGTTGTTATTAAGTGCTTAGCAAAGCATAATACAGTTGAAAAACTGAGAACATTCTAATAAGTCTAGAGTCAAATCCAAGCTGGGTGTGGTCAAGCCCCAGAAGTTGAAGGCCTACATGTGCTAGTGACATCCTATATCTTAAAAAAAAAAAAAAGAAAGAAACCTACAACTTAGGAAATGCACCCTACAAGTGTATGGATATTTTTAGATTGCTGCCCATGTTAAAAATTGTGGTCATATGCTTCAACAATCCTTTGAACTATGTCAGAGGAACATCTATTAAAGAAAATTTATTGCTAGTTGTGCTTAATTTTTTTTTTTTAATAAAGTATCGGTTGGGAGAAACCAAAACCCAAACTTGGCTCAAACAAGACAATTGCTTTCTTTCTGATATTTGAGATAATTCCCAAATAGTCCAGGCCTGTGTGGCAGATCTACAAAGGGAAATAGGATATCCTAGGGTTTATGTTCTTCCATCTCTAAAGTCCTCATCCAGGGTAACTTGCTACTATCCATACTTTCATGTCAGTGAGCAGAGAGTGGGGAAGAAAGCTCCTGCCCTGCCCTGCCCTACCCAGCTCAGCCACTGGGCCAGCCAGCACTTACTCAAGTAGCCAGATCTGACAAATGCTGTTTACAGAATAGGAAGTCCCAAGTGTTAAAGACAGTTTTGTCAGGTAAGTTGTTTTCTTAGCTTTCAGCAGTGCCATAATGAAATGCCAGCTTCCTTAAAACAGTTTTTTCTTCTGTTCCAGGGTTACAAGTACAGATTATTACTTCCTAAGTGACGGACTCTATGTCCCTGAAGACCAGCTAGAGAACCACAGGCCATTACAGCTGGATGTGATTATGGTGAAACCTGATAGACTCTGTAACAACCATGGTGGAAAGGCTGCAGAATCTTCTGCCAAGAAGCCCAAGCTAGCCCTGGAAGACACAGAGAACACTGCCTCTTCAGACCGCGATTGTCAGTCAGAAGAGCCAGGAAAGGACACAGCAACACAGAACGGCCAGTCTAGTCAAGAGCCGTCGTGTTCATGTGTTTGTGAAAGTCAGCATTGCCAAAGTACAGCGAGCACGGGAGACATCCTGCAGGTCCTACAGCAAGGAGATGCTTTTGTTTTAGATATTGACTTAGACTTTTTTTCTGTCAAGAATCCCTTCAAAGAAATGTTTACTCAGGTAAATAAGGGAAGGGACTTTGAAAGCAGGGAGCTTGAGAATTATATGGCATTTTTCTAGATGAGAGCTAGCAAGCCTTCTGCAAATAGTCTGAGCGTTACTTGCTTTAGGTTTTAGAAGCCACATTCTATCACCTTTTCTCCTTTAAGAAAAAATTAGCTCGTACCTGTAATCCTAGCTACTCAGAAGGCTGATACCTGAGGCTCAAAGTTCAAAGCCAGCTCAAGCAGAGACTCACCAATTAATGACCCCATGGCAATAGCCACAAGTGAAGGTATCTCAAGTGGTATGGTGCCAGCCTTGAGTAAAAAAGCTAATGGTAGTGCCCAGGCCCTGAGTACAAGCCCAGTCCTGGCACAAAAAAGAAAGAAAAAATTAATATTCAGGCTAAGCTTTCCTAATCCAGAAAAAATCCAAAATCTAAAATTGCTTCAAAATCTAAATTTGGGGACTCCATAAAATGCACCAATAAAGTCTCTACAAAGATGCCCAAGTCTAGAAAATTCCCAAATCTGATGTTCTTCTAGTTCTAAGCATTTTAAAGGATACTTTACTTATATTATAATTTAATAGCTATGTTTTTAATGTTATAAAAATATAATAGTTAAATTCTCCTTGTTCCATCTATTGCTTATTAGCTTTATAATCTTGGGAAAGTTACTTACCCTTTCTGACCTGCAGTTTCTTCACATAAAGTGAGAATGATCATCATAGCCAGCAGACTGGGACTATACCACTGTTTTATAGCGCTTACCTAGCATGCAGTCAATCCCCAACACTGTACTATTAATCACTTAGTTAATCAAACCCATCCCTTGGGATAGTTTTGATCATAAAGCACTGAGGACAGCGCCACATCATTATGAGTAATAAATTTTAGCTCTAGTCGACTGGGAATGTGGCTTAATTGTAGAGTGCTTGCCTAGCATGCCTGAAGCCCTGGGTTCAATTCCTTAGTAACACATACATAGAAAAGGCTGGAAGTAGTGCTGTGGCTCAAGTGGTAGAGTGCTAGCCTTGAGCAGAGAGGCTCAGGGATAGTACTCAGGCCTGAGTTCAAGCCCCAGGACTAGGGGAAAAAAAAGTATGTATGTATATGTATATATATATGTGTGTATATGTATATATATATGTGTGTGTATGTATGTATATGCATATATAATGTATACACATATATGTATGCATATACATACATATATATATGCATACATATATATAAAAATATGTAGCTCTTGGGAATAACTTTTTCCTGGAGAAGTCTTAGTAAGAGTATTGGGGCCAAATGCATCCATTGTATAATGGATTCACCTAGCTATGTTCCTAGAGTCTAGGGATAGCATCTTTCTCCTGCATGGAGTCTTATCCAAGTTCTGAGTCTGTCAGTCTGCCTCCAAGATTGCCTTTGTGCTCCAGAGTTCTATTTCTAGAGAATTGGCTGTACAGTGAACTTGGAGTTTACTGTTCTCCTCAAAGACATATATCTCCGAGAAACGGCTAAAATCTATTTAGAGCCATTTATATAATGAGATATTATTAGCAGTACTTTCATCTCATACTCCTTTAGCCAGCTAGTCTTCTTCCATACCTGATTTTCATATTTTATTGATATGCTCAGATAGACAGACTTGCCGTAAGGAAAATAATCTTCATAATGAAAATCTGAACATTTTGCCTGATTCTCCTAGACAAATCTGAATATCGTCTAAGATATTTTCTGTCAAAGGTGGATCACTTAAGGACATTAACCTTAGGATTGTGCATTTTGTTTTGCAGGAGGAGCACAAAATATTACAAGAACTTTACCAGTTTCAAAGGCCTGGGAGTAACCCCACTAAGGTATGCACTGTTTCCTCAGGGTTTATCTACATATCACGTATTCAAAGTGGCACTGTGGCTCAAGTGGTAGAGCACTTGCCTTGAGCTGAGGGACAGCGCCCAGGCCCAGAGTTCAAGCCCCACGACCTATAAAAAAAAAAAAAAATCTTATAGCTTATTAGAGTGAATCGCCAAGAACTATCTAAATTGTGTGTGTGTGTGTGTATGTGCACACTTAGGTATTTATTGGTAAAGCCCACAATTAGCACATGGAATCATTTTTTATAGGATTAATTAAACCGATTTTTATAATAACAGGATTTTACTTGCTTTTAGAAAGGATATTATCTCAGTATTTCAATGTTTTTGAAGGATGATTTAGCAGATATTGTTGATACTCGAATTCATCAATTAGAAGATTTAGAAGCAGCTTTTGCTGATTTGTGTGATGGTGATGATGAAGAAACTGTCCGGAGATGGGCTTCAAACCCTGGGTAAGACCACCTCCCAGACTTTTCTCCCTTCATCCTAAATACATAACCAAGTTTGTTGGATAAATTGCTTTGAAATAAACAGTATTGGGGGCTGGGAAGGTGGCTCAGTGGTAGAGCACTTTCCTTGCATGCCTGAGGCCCTGGGTTCGAGTCCTCAGCACCACATAAGCAAAAAGAAAAAAGCCAGAAATGGCACTGTGGCTCAAGTGGTAGAGCGCTAGCCTTGAGCTGAAGAGCTGAGGGACAGCGCCCAGGCCCAGAGTTCAGGCCCCGCGACCGGACCCAAAAAAAAAAAAAAAACTATTAATTTTACTGTTCCGTTTTCCAACAGTAGTATTTATTGAGTGCTTTTTTAAGTGTTCATTATGAATTTCCCATTCATAGATTCTTTGTAGCAATCTATTGTTTTATTGTAGTTATGTCCATTCTATAGATGAGGGAACCAAGGCCCAGAGTTTAAGTAAGCTGCCAAGAGTCTCATCATGAAGGGTATGCATTAGTTACTGTGTAATTGCTTCCCTACTAGATCAATTCTTGGGCTACCCCTGTACTAAGTAGAATAAGAACAAAAAATTAACCTAGTAATAAGTAAATTATAATATGAAAACATGCCTCCTTCTAAGAATAGCTCAATGAAGAAATGATAAGTACCTTGATCACAGAGTAACGAATGTACATATAGCAAAGTACTACATTGTGTTTTGTGAATGTGTACAATGACTAAATATCAACTATGAAATTGTACAATTATTATGTATCATTTTTTAAACAATGCTTATGAGTAGAAGAGTTGTTTTCAATCTGATTATTACATATGAAATCAGGATTTAAAGGCCAGAATCTTCATCAGTTCATTTATTTGTCCAATTCTCACATTGTTAATCTTAACTTTAAAGTATGAAAAAAGTCCTGTAGCAGTGAAAGCCCAAAATTTGTCACTGAGCTTGGCATAAAAGAATATTGGTTAACTCCCAGAGCTACTTTGTTCTATATAATTCTTTAAGTCAGGTAAACTCGAAAAGCCTGGAAACTGAAAGTCATCATTACATTCTCATGTTTATAGAAGACCTGAAGTAGCTCTTTATAAAAACTCTAAGGCTGTTTTCACTGTAGTATAAATGTGACAGTCAGTCATGAGACAGCAACATTCAATGGAAAGCTGGAATCCTAGGACTTCCGAAGAACCTGAGCAGTCATCAAGAGTTCTCATGGGATGATTACTGAAGTTATTGGCTCTGCAAAGAAGTACAGGAATAGGGACAGTGGTTGCCTCTTTAGAGAGGAATCATAGTTCGAAGATTATATGACATGTATTAACAAGAAAGAACTCATTTTGCTAGATACCTATTCAAAATATTCATTGTAGCTTTTACTTAAAAATAAAAGATTGTGCCATATGCTAGTTATTGTTCATACCTACAATCCTAATTACCCTCAGGAGGCTGAGATCTGTGGATCACGGTTTTAAACCAACCGGGGCAGGAAAGTTCATGAGACCTTATTTCCAGTTAACCACCAAAAATGGAAATAGAGCTGTGGCTTAAATGGTAGAGCATTAGCCTTGAGCAGAAAAGCTCAGGGACAACACCCAGGCCCTGCGTTCAAGTCCCAGGACTGGCACACACACACACAAAAAAAGCTTTTTTAAAAGTAATATATTCAGAAGCAGTCCTGAAATGCAAAAGTCATAAAGCCTTAATTATTGTCATTAAAGCAGTGACATAGAAGAATAATTCATCATAGTCTAACTACCTCAATAAATACTAGTCAGTTAATACTTTATCTCTTCAGCATAAGGAACGAGTTCTAAAAATAATGTCTTCTTTCTTGAAATTATGATGAAAGAGAAATAAGTCACAAGATATAAGCCCTTCTCGAAATGCTGAAAAGTACCCACTATTTTGTGATTTTGTGAGGTCTCAAACCAAGCTTAAGTCCTGAACGACAGCAGCAAAGCTAAGCATGGAAACCTAAGACTGCTTCTTAAATCCAGCCTGTGGACAGTGGCACGTTCCTCTGAGCTGCACTATGCCTGCCGCACAGCCCTGCAAGAAGCTCCACAGCAGACTTGAGGGCTCAACAAAACTGCACCAGTGGAAGATCAGATGGGAGCTGAAATTGGAAGGAGAAAAACATAACTAAAAACTTTGGATGAGATTGTAGGGAACATTTATTTCTTAATTATCTTCATTTATTTCTTAATTACCTTCATCTCCCAAGCATCCTATGATGCATGTCATCGTGGTTACATGCTTGCTAAGTGCACTGTGTCACTTGGTACTGTCATTTTCTGTTTATTGACTGGGTGGCTTTTTTCCCAGAATGGAATCACTACTTCCACTTGTACAGAGTTTGAAAAAACGGATGGAAGTGCCAGACTATGAGATGGTAACTATCATAATTAAACTATAACTTCATGGGCATTGGAGGGGAGGGGGGCGACTTGAACTTAAGAATTCTTCCCTCTCTTTCAGCTTTTTCACTCAAGGCTGGTGCTCTACCACCTCCACTCCTGGATTTTTTCGGGTTAATTGGACATAAGAGTTTTATACACTTCTTTTATTCAAACTAGCTTCATGCTCAGTCCTCAGATCTCGGCCTATTGAGTAGCTAGGATTATAGGTGTGAGCCACTACCACCTAGGCTTAAAATTGACCCTTTATAAAGGTACATTTCTGGGTTAAAATAGGTGCTTTTTGTTAAGATGGTTTGCCTTTTTAGTGTCTGAATGAATCATGAAGAACAAACATAACAAAAAAAACACTTAAGAAACCCAAAATGCTGGAAAAGTTTTCTCAGAAAAAAAATTTTTTTCTCCTATTTTCTATATGAAGCAAAAATACTATGTATTTTTTGTTACTGATGATTTCATGATCAGGTCTTATTTCACCAACGAAGAGTTAAGTCCAAACATCTGATTATAAAAACCAAAAGATAAAATGAAAGGAGAGAGCCACGGCTTGAATATTACACTGTATATACTAGCTGTGGTGTACATGCTGTGTCCAAAGGTATATTTAATCATAGCTTTTTCTTTCATTTTACAATCTTTGAAATTATAATCAGTATTTGAAATGGAAAAAAAACTGGAGCTTAAAAAGTTCAAATGAGGGGCTGGAAAGTTGGCTCAGTGGTAGAGTGCTTGCCTTGCATGTATGAGGCCCTGTGTTCGATTCCTCCATACCACATAAGCAGAAAAAGCCGGAAGTGGCATTATGGCTCAAGTGTTAGAATGCTAGCCTTGAGCTGAAGAGCTGAGGGACAGCACCCAGGCCCAGAGTTCAGGGCCCACAACCAGCCAAAAAAAAAAACAAAGTTCAAATGAAAGCCAGGCATAGTGGTACTCACTTTGGAGGTAGCGATAAGGAGGTGTGGGATTCAACTTGGCAGTAGGGGGAGATAACAAAACCATCATCAGCATGATAGCGGATGCCCATAATCCCAGCTAGGAGGGGCAGTCCAGGGGTAGCCTTAGAAAAAATTCAGCCCCTACCTTTAAAAAAAAAAAAGAAGAAGAAAGGACTGAGAGAATACATTTCCCTGCCTAGCAAGTGTCCTGAGCTCAAATGCCAACACCACCAGTCATAAAAGCACAAAAGTTCAAGGAATTCTTTCTTAGAATTTATTCCAGATCTGAGTCTTCCAAGTGTCTATTTATTAGACTTCTGCTCTGCTTAATCCTGTAATTGTTTTCATGTTTACTTCAGTTTTGTGGAATATAGTGAAACCACTATATTTGAGCTGCTGTTTAAGAACTAAAAACAATATTTTTTGGTCATTGGGCTTGAACTCAAGGGCTGGGCACTGTCAGTGAGCTTTTTTTGCTCAAGGCGAGCAGTCTACCACTTGAGCCACAGCTCCACTTCCAGTTTTCTGGTGGTTAATTGAAAATGGGAGTCTCATGGGTTTTCCACAGATCTCAATCTCCTGAGTAGCTAGGATTGCAGGTGTGAGAAAAACAGTGCCTAGCTAAGGAGTAAATCTTTGACTTATTTTAAAAAATGAAACAAAACAAAACATAGGGCTGGGAAGGTGGCTCAGTGGTGGAGTGCTTGCCTTGCATGCATGAGGCCCTGGGTTCAATTCCTCAGTACCACATAAGCAGAAAAAGGCGCAAGTGGTGCTGTGGCTCAAGTGATAGAGCGCTAGCCTTGAGCTGAAGAGCTGAGGAACAGTGCCCAGGCCCAGAGTTCAGGCCTCATGACCGACCAGAAAAAAATACCAGCAAAAGAATATCATGGTTAACTCTGGATCAGCACAAGGCTTACTCCTTTTTTTTTTTTAATGGTACTGTTAAGAATAATAAAGTTGGGGGCTGGGAAGGTGGCTCAGTGGTTGAGTGCTTGCCTTGCATGCATGAAGCCCTAGGTTCGATTCCCCAGCACCACATAAGCAAAAAGAAAAAAACGCCGGAAGTGGCACGAGCACTAGCCTTGAGCAGAAGAGCTGATAGACAGTGCCCAGACCCAGAGTTCAGGCCCCACGATCAGACCCAAAAAAAAAAAAAAAAAAAAGAATAATAAAGTTACATTGGGGGGGAGGGGGAAGGGGGATGGGAAGGGGAAACAAATAAGGAGGCTACAATGCTTGATAAGAAAGGTACCCATTATCTTGTCCATGTAATTGTAACCCGTCTGTACAGTATTTTCACAATAAAATAAAAATAAATTTTTTAAAATAATAATAAAGGTACAGTTTAGATCTTGTCTGGAAGATCTAGCAAGGTGGTAGGGAAAGGAAACAAAAAAAAAAAGAAAAGTTAGAAGACAGGGTTTCAAAATGCTTTGAGACAATGAATTGTATCCTCAGGCTGGTGTGCCTTCATTGTTACATTGTGTCTGGATTTGTTGGGGAGAGGGAGACTCTGGTATCTGGGGAGAAGAAATGGTAGGGCTCAATCACAGATTATGTATCTGGATGCATACTTGCTACAATGTCAGATCATTGAATTATTTGATCATTTTAGTGGAAAAGAAAATGCAGAATCTGGGCTACGAATATGGCTCAAGTGGTAGAGCCTAGCAGACATGTAGAGTGCAAGTTCAAACCCCAGCACCACCACTACCCGCTCCCAAAATGAAGAACTCACCACTTTAATATGTTGACAGATAGTTGCCAATTAAATCTTTGGTGTGTATCCAAAGCAAGCCATAAAATATAGTATGTTTCTGTGTATTATATACTTAAGCCAAAACTATGATATATTAGAGTTCTGGTTGTTAAAACATTAAATCCAAAGTTGCAAAAAGCATCCTGTGAGCTACTTCTAGCGTTCAGAAAGATTTACTTTAGTGCTAACACTAGAACACCATTCATTTACATGTAAAACGTACGGAAATACCAAGAAGTAGTGTATGGGTATACACAAAGTAGTACATAACACAAAATAAACACCACATTAAATAAGGCAGGAAGAAATCTCAATTCTTGGTCTGGGAATGTGGCTTAGTGGTAGAGTGCTTGCCTAGCATGCATCAAGCCCTGGTTCAATTCCTTAGTACCACATACCAGAAAAAGCCAGAAGTGGTGCTGTGGCTCAAGTGGTAGAGCCCTAGCCTTGAGCAACAGGGAGAGTGCCCAGACCCTGAGTTCAAGTCCCAGGACTGGCCAAAAAAAAAAAAAGAAAACTCTATTCTTTCTTTTTGGTGTCAGTACTAGGGCTTGGACTCAGGGCCCCACATTTGCTCAGCTTGCTCACTAGTGACTGGTACCCTACTATTGGTACCATGCCTCTGGTCCAGCATTTTTCTAGTTGAAGAAGATGGAATCTCATGAATTTCTCTGTTCCACAGGTTTCATATTGACATTCTCTGATCTCAGCCTACTGAGTAAGCTAAGACTGCTGGTGTGAGCCACTAGCACTTTTCTTACTACCTTCTGAAAACTTTGAATATAGTACTAAGTGCATTCATTAAGTAAATAAAATAGCGTGATAAAAAGATTAAAATTTTCAGGCACTGGTGGCCCATGCCTGCACTCCTAGCTACTCAGGAGGCTGAGACCTGAGGATTACAGTTCAGAGCCAGCCCAGGCAGGAAAGTCTGTGAGACTGTTATCTCCAATAAACAACCAGAAAACCAGAAACAACACTGTGGCTCAAGTAGTAGAGTGCTAGCCTTGAGTTGAGGAGCTGAGGGACAGTGCCCAAGCCCAGAGTTTAAGCCCCATGATCGACAAAAAAAGATTAAAATGACTATGTTATTATATAGTTTTATATCACCTTTTTAAACCTAGGGAAGTCTATAATTAGGTAGACAGATAGAGCTAAGGGGCATAACTCCAGAAGTAGAGCACCAGGCCCTAGCAGAGGAGAGAAGCTAATGAATCCCTAATTATAAAATAAAGAAGTAGTAAAGGGCTAGGAAGGTGGCTCAGTGGTAGAGCGCTTGCCTTGCATGCCTGAGGCCCTGGGTTCGATTCCTCAGCACCACATAAGCAAAAAGAAAAAAGCCGGAAGTGGCACTATGTCTCAAGTGGTAGAGCGCTAGTCTTGAGCTGAAGAGCTGAGGGACAGCACCTGGGCCCAGAGTTCAGGCCCCACGACCGGACCCAAAAAAAAAAGAAGTAGTAGTAAAAACTCCTAGGAAAGGCATCAGGCCCAGACAATACATAGGCCGATGCTACCAAAATGTTAGAGAACAGATAACACTTGCAACTTAGATACTTTCAAGGAAAAAAAAAATCCAGAAACAAAAAAATAATTTAAAAAGAATAACTTAAAAAACTTCTCAGAATAAACAGTCAACGTTGTTTTTGTTCTTTTCAGGTTCACCAAGCTGGTCTAACCTGCGATTACTCAGAACTTCCTCACCACATCAGCACTGAACAAGAAATCGAGTGTCTTGTTCAGTCTGTCTATCACCTACTGAAAAATCTACCCAAGCCTACCCTTGTGACGATCGCAAGGTAAGCAGGGCAGGCCACATCATGTCCTCATCTCTGCAGCCTGGAATATGTCACCTCGTGGAGCAAAAGCATTCATGGTATGATTAACTCAAAGGTGCTGAGCAGTGTTATATTGGATTGTTAGGGGGCATTCAGCATTATCACAAGAGTCCTACTAGGAGGGAGGCAAGAAGTCAGAGAGCTTGGAAGACTGGAAGCCTGCTGGCTCTGAAGGAGGATGGGGCCACATGATGAGGAAAGCAGGCAGCCTCTAGAAACGAGAAAAGGCCAGACGACAGGTTCTCCCCTGTAGAATATCTTACAGTGACCAGTGCACACAGATGTCTGTGTGTTGCTTTGGCCAGGTGCCACAAATGGCACTGCTAATGACAGGATTTTTTCTAGCTGAACAACCTCTTAGTAAAAATCTCAATTTGAGATCCACTCTTACCTTAATTCACAGAGTAGTTAGACATATGGAAAATACAGTTCCTATCTAATCCGTTTCCTGAGGAGAGTGTTGGTTGGTTGGTTAGTTTTTGTTTTTGTCAGTCAAGGGGCCTAAACTCTGGCCCTAGGTGCTGTCCCTCAGCTCTTCAGCTCAAGGCTAGCACTCTATCACTTGAGCCACCGAGCCACTTCAGGCTTTTTCTGCTTATGTGGTGCTGAGGAATTGAACCCAGGGCCTCATGCATGCAAGGCCAGCACTCTACCACTAAGCCACATTCCAGCCCCTAGTTTTTGTTTTTATGTAGGTCCTAGAGCTTAAACTCAGGACCTGGGCTCTGTCATTGAGCCTTTTTCCTCAAGGCTAGTGTTCCACCAATGAACCACCACTCCACTTTGGACTTTGGGCTAGTTAATTAGAGATAAGCATCTCATCAACTTTCCTGCCTGGGCTGACTTTGAACTATAGATCCTCAAACCTCAGCCTCCTGAGTAGCTAAGATTACAGATTACTGTTTTATTTAACCCATTTTTTTTTAAAAAACACTTTGCATGTATGTTAGGCAGACAAAATTAAAACCTAAATCAGGCATAGTAGTGCATACCTGTAATCCTCACACATAAGAAGAGTCAAGAGTTTGAGGCCAGCCGGTGTTACACATAGTGAGTCTCTATCTCAGAGGACAAAAGAAAGAATGTTGAAACTAGTTTCTAACGTGAATGAGCGCTCAGGACTTTAGAAAGTATGAAGGACACAGGGTAGTTATGTTGCAGGATATGGGGCAGTGTCAATCATCCAGTAGCCCAACCTCTCCTCTTCCCCCCCCCCCCCCCGCCCACGAGCAATGGGAGCAGCATCACCCCAGTCCTGACAATCAAAATGTACCTCCAAATTTCCAAAACTCTGTCTTAAGGGTAGTATCAATGGGTAGTCTAATGATGTTTAAAAGAAATCAGATATCTGTTTGGAAGCATTGAGGTACACCTGTTTGTTAAAGCTTACTTCCCTAATCTTCTACTAATGGACCTTTGAGTAGATCTTTATATGTATGTATATGTTAGTATTTCATCATTTAACATGCTCTTAGTCATATTTTTACTGTGTCTGAAAGTAACCTGGTCATGAGTTTGTCAGAGGCTTTACAGATTGCTGTAGATCTAAAATACTTATGCAAAGGAGTCTGCAGCTAATTCCACTTGCTTCAAAAAAGTTATGTCACTTTCCTCGATCCATCCTCTTAATGGAGTTTCGCACCCCAATCCAGACTGATACCAATCAGTTCACATCTTAATCTAGCTATAATTAGCCGAAGACGTTCAGTTAGCAGTGTAACTCTCAAGTTCTCCTTGGTGAGTTCTCAAAATCTGTGCCCCACTCCACATGGCACCTTTCTCAGGTGCCATTCCCAACCCCAGGACATGCCCACATTTCATTAAAGCAATAAGCCCTGTTTTCCCAAGTGACATCCCCTTCCAAGGGAGGTGTAGCCTGTAGGAACACTGTGGCTTACATCACAGAATTCCACCCCAATCCCCAGCATTTACAAGGTGTTTGACCTTGCATGGGTTAATCTTTCTTGGCTTTAGATTCCTTTAATAGTCATTCTCTCTTATATTAGTTTGTCTTTTGTTTCTCTGTGACCCAATAACAAAGAAGCAACTTAAAGGATTTATTTAGTTTCTGAGGATTTGGTGGCCCCCAGAGGCAAGGAAGCAGAGAAAAATGAATACTGGAAGGGACCAAGAAAAGATGGCCCCCAAGGACATACACCTCAGTGATCTACTTCCTGCTGTAGGTCCTACCTCCTTCCTTTCACCACCTCCTGCTGCGATCACTTGCAGAACCCATCCAGGGATCAGATCAGCCATTCTTTAGACTTGCACTCCCAGCTGTCGTCTCTGGGGGAGCCCTTACAGACAAACCTTATTAGTCTTCTAGGCACTTCTTCATTCAAGTTGGAAATCAAAGTTAACCTGGCCTTCCTGTTTTATAGCATTGCCAAGAACATGAAAGAACATAATTCATGTAATGCACTGGACTGAGAGATATAACTGTCTTTTCTATCAATGTGGGTTGCTTAAAGATTCTTTGGCTTGATGGCTAGACTCAGGTTGATGAATTTGCTAAGACATTGTCCACAAATAGGAAAGGAAAGAAGAACTGCTTTGGATAAGGAAGGATTTTTGAAATGTAAGGTGTTTGTGTCAATTGGTTTTTCCAAGTAGGAATTAAGACACACCTCAGAAACACACCTTTGATTGTTTAAGAAATAGCAGAGGGTTTGGGTATATTTTGAGATAACTTGTTAATCTTATTTGGAAATCTTTCAATGGTTGGTCACTGTAAATACATCTTACCCTATTCAAACTAGCCAATCGAGAGCAGATGGTGAACTGAGCTCAACCAATCTGAGCAGAGGGGTGGGGCCTGCTGCTTAGGGAAAAGTATGAGAGCAAAGGGCCTATTCTTGCTTGCTAGATTTTTGGCTGATGGCACACTCTTCTGCAGAAGTAAGTTCTTCCTTGCTGGGACAATTCTTTTTGTGTCTATCACTGTGACTGGTGATCCTTAGAGAACATATTTATAACACTGACATACGGTTAACATTTTTTAGAAATGTTTTCATATTCCTGGTGAATTTCATACACCTCCATTCCTGTTTCACATTGAACGCAGCACATGCAGCTTTTTCCTCCGCACGGATGGTTTTATCTATTTATGTGTAGTTTTCCTCTCTCTCTCTCCTTGGTTCCAGGTCAAGTCTGGATGAGTACTGTCCTTCGGAACAAGTTGACAGCATCCAAGAGAAGGTCCTTGGCGTGCTGCGCTCCCTCTATGGGACTCTGGACACTCATCTGGTATACTTGGCAGAGTCTGCTCCATCTTGAAATGGCCAGAACCCTAGCTTCCATTTTAGTTATATAAAGTAACGGGGTGTTCGTTGTTGCAAATGAGTCTTCCAGAGAACACTTTTTACTATAACTTTCGGTTGAAATCTTTCAGCTACTTTGAATCTCTAAACAGATATTATCAGTGTTTGAATGATGGCAGGTTTCTTCAGTGAGGGGGAGGGGGATTACTACTACCCCAGTTAATGGAAATATTCCTTATCTATCATCCCCTTTCTTTTTGTGAGAGTTATTTTTCCTCTTCCCCACCTCCTAGGCAAAATGGACTTAATGAGATGTATTTATTTATTTGTTTGTTCAACTCGTGGATATTTTATTAAGAACTACCTATACTAAGGAACAGAATACACAAGACCCCGGCCCTCACGGGGAGGCAGATGAGAAGGAAATCATGGGCTGTTAGCAGTATTGCAAAGGAGGAAAAGACAACCATAAATATGTCTTAGGTTCTTAGAGCCATCATAGGAAAGGAAAGTTCTCAAAAGCTAGTGCCAAAAAAACAAAACCTTACCAATCCATGAAAATGATAGAGGAAGTCTACATCCCCAGAGCTATTGGGATTATGGTCTGTTAGCACTTATGGTCCAGCATGGTGTTTATTAAACAGGCTCACTGAGCAGACTTGGCCATACAAGACTTCCCTTCTTTTGTGTTTTCTCTTTTTAACTAATCAGAGGTCTGTGCCTCTAGGGGTCATTGTAGACATCAGTTGTCACACTAGCTCCTGCATGCCGTTTTGTGGCAGTCCGCGTTGACAGTTTTTTTCAGATAAAGCGATTTTTTTATGAAAAAGTAAGTTAAAAAGTTACACTTCTAATTCTGGCCTGCCATACACACCCAACGACAGAACTGTCTTCCACCAGCTCCTTCCTAATGTAACTGAAAACAGCCATTGACTTCTTGGTGAGTCTGAACTAAATAAGCCCAGCTGTGAGCTCAAAGAAGGGAATGGTTCCCAAAACAACGTCTATTCCCAAATTAAAGAAAGTTAGGGAATTTCATTGAGGAGACTCAGACATATTTATCACATAGAGGTGGGCACATTTCAGCATGTGTGCACATGAGATCATGCTTCATACATCGCATGTTTGAAAATGGTCAAAAGGCTGTCTCTGAGCATGTCACTGTAGATCACCTCGAGCAGTGGTTGGGCGATTCATTCAGGCTGGTTTGAAGTTGATCCTTGTGGTTAGGGCTGGAGGAACAACTGTCTGAAAAAAAAAAAAAAAGCCATTTGAAAGGATGTAGCAGTGTTCCCTTTCTTACAAACAAAGGTGATAACCCTGTGAGGTACTGTATCAGCTCACTATAAGTCAGACCCTCTTCCTAAGATATATATAAAATAAAATAAAACAGTGTCTCCAGTTGAGATCTTCCACCTCAGCCTCCTAATGTTTGGATTATACCCAGTGCCACCATATCAGGCTTCTGAGCTAGTCCTAATATTAGGAATTAAGTGAAGGTTTCTGCTCTTCACTATGCCTTTTGTCTAAAAATCATCATTTTAAACTATCTACTTTATTTCTTTACTTTTAAAAGATAAAATGGCCTAGAAGGAAAAAAAGAACATACCTAGTGGTCTTCAGCCTTCACATAGCTCTCATTTATTGCAGGTAACTTTCAGGCCTCTTCCACATGACTACCTGCAGATTTGCATGTTGCTAAAATCATAGTGTCACCCAACTGATATTCTAGGACAAGGTACCATTGCCACTCAGATAATAGAGCTTTCATTTTTCCAATGATTCTATTTGCCCGTGAATTTTTGTTGTACAAACTTATTTCCACATGGAATAGTATAAACACTTATTGATGTCATAAAAAGCCAAACTGCTTTAACTGTCCACTTGGATACAAAAAAGTGGTTTATGTTGCTGTAAAAATCACACTTGCAAAATTATACAATATTTTTTAAGGTTTGACATTTTTGTTAGGATTCTATAAATATGCATTGCTACTATGAATAAATTCTGTTTGGTGTTATATGAAATTAAAAGATGTGTTTTGAAGTTTTAAATCAAACTAGCACTAATGGTATGTGTTCTTCTGTAATTGACTTGTAAATCAAGTTTTATTTTACTTATGCTTCTTATGAACTCTGATGTGACTCATCCTTGTTGGAACTCAGGTTAAATAAAAGAGCATAGGATTCCTTTGCAAGAACCCTCTGATTATCTCTTCGAAGAATAAAATTTACTTGCTGCTTGTTATAAGAACCAAATTAGCAAACTACGTCTGTGTAGTAGGAAGACCCCTATTCAGGCAGGCAAGCCTACCTAGTCGTCCGGAGTGACAGAGCCCAAGTTGTTAATAAAGAAGCAACTTTATTAAAAAGATTCCTACATTGATGGGCCAGGGCCGCAGCACAGGCTCGGGAGCTAATACTGCGACCCCGAGCGACCCCCATTCTTTGGTTTTTAAAGGCAAAATCCATGAGGTCGATCCTGGTCACATGCAGGTGACCAATGGGATCATAACACACAAAGGATTGTATGGTCAAACCAGACCACACACAGGTGGCCAATAGGAGTTTACCGTAAGCATGTGCAAAAGGCAGGGTTTACCATAAGTACATGGTGTTGCCAGTTAGAGCCAGATTACAACCTGTTTTATGAGTCAGTCTTTAACTCAACAATCAAGGTGGGTTAGGTTGTTCAGGGGAGGGAGACCTAGAAGCATTCTTTCCATTCAGGAACTGGGATGGTTGGAGCCAAGATCTAGTTAACCTTGTTTAAAGGTTTCTTTCTAAAATCCCTAAAACAAAGGCAAAGCCTGGAAAGAAGTTGTACCAGCTCAAGTCTCCTCCCAGGGCCTACTTTATCTGTGTATCCCAAATAGGGAGATACTCAACCAAGACATCCTGCATTTGTGTCCTAAGTGCCAGTAAAAAAAAATACATGTACAGATATTGAAAGATGGAAACGTTGGACTTCTCAAAATTGAAAAAAAAATTGTTTTGGTCAGTGGTGGGCTTGCCCTCGGGCGCTGTCCCTGGGCTCTTCTGCTCAAGGCGAGTGCTCTACCACGTGAGCCACAGCACCACTTCTGGTTTTCTGGTGGTATATTGGAGATGAGTCTCACGGACTTTCCTGCCCAGGCTGGCTTTGAACCATGATCGTCAGATGTCAGTCTCCTGAGTAGCAAGGGTTACAGGCGTGAGCCACCAGCACCCAGCTAACTTGAAATAATTTTAAGAGTATTATTTTTTTTTTACATTTAACTGGCTTCACAGCTGAGATGGGTAAAGCTTAAAAAATCTACTTTCAGGATTTTTCAATGCTTGGTAAATTTTTTGAGATAAGGGCAAAAGAAAGATTTTTTTATATATGTTCATCCTTTCCAAGTGACAAATAACAGCTGAGGAGCAGTTTGATTTAATGCCTACCATTTGGCTGAAATATAGCATATTTTCTCCAGGAAAAAAATATGAATAGCTTTTCTGGTAAGAATAATGTCTTTCTCCCCAAAGCTGCCCTTCATCCTCTTCTCCAAAACTTGAGAATAGGCAATATCACAGAGCACAAGGGTGAGGAGGGTGTCCAGGGTCATGTGGTAACGTTGAGGTGTAAACAGAGGGCTTTGAAAGGGAAAGGATGGGGGTGTCAGGGAGATCCGTGGGGGCACCCCATCAGCATGCGGACTGAAGACAGGCAGGGAGGGAAGGGCCACAAGACAAAGAATGTGAACCACCTCTGTTGGTACAAAAATCAAAGAACCTTTCTCCTCTGGGGCCTCCAGAGAGAACCCAACCCTGCCTGGGATCAGCCCATTGACATCCATTGCGAAAGACGACCCTCAGATTCTAAAGTAATGTTTGTGTTGCTGCTAAGCCCCCGTGCGTGTGGTTATTTATTAGAGCAGTCTCAAAGCTCAGTAAATGACACTCCACAGGACCACATTTGGCCCTGGCTGAGCACTTTGAACTAAGGGAAATTGGAGGCCTAAAGCTGCCTCCGAACCAAGGTCTTAGAAATCTTTCTTCCCTCGCTTCCCTCCCACAGTGCAGAGAGAGGCTGTGCTCTGAGATTCCCTTATCTACCTAAAGATAGGACAAACCAAGGAAATACAATTGCTTTCAATCCTCTTAGGGAAATTAGATTAGGCGAGGAAGATTAAAGTCCTCAGAGATAGAGACTGGAAATCAATCACTGCATCTGCAGCCCAGTGTACTCTCAGGCCACAGTATGTGTCCTGACCTATTTATTTCTTCTAAAACCATTTCCTGCCCCCTAAAGATTGCCTCCACTTCTCTCCCCGCTTTTCCTCTCTACCTTGAAGCTCTGTATAAGTTTATGAATCTCATTGGATTATTGGATAGTCACCTTCCTGATGTTCCCAGGCACATAAGCAAACCTACTGTTCTTTTCTCAATTCCGCCTATTGACAATTTATTTCAGAATTTAAAGACTTCAGGGCTGGGAAGGTGGCTCAATGGTAGAGCGTTTGCCTTGCATGCATGAGGCCCTGGGTTCAATTCCTCAGCACCACATAAGCAAGCAAGAAAAAAAGAAGTGGCGCTGTGGCTCAAGTAGTAGAGTGCTAGCCTTGAGCTGCAGAGCTGAGGGACAGCGCCCAGGCCCAGAGTTCAGGCCCCACGACTGGACCAAAAAAAAAAAAAAAAGAATTTAAAGACTTCAGAGAAGGAGGTGAAATTCCTGCTGTTCCCTACCTGAAACAGAATCTTTGGTGTTGAATCATGTAATTCCACAGTTTGGACACTAGGTGGAGATAGAATACTAGATATAGCAAAGGAGTAGTTTCAGTATCAGGACAATGACTCAAGATTCTTCTTACCGGTTTTTAATCATCCCATTACATTTGGATTTTAACACTTTCTTTAATATTGTTGGCCTGACATTTAAATTAGCTTTGATAAGTTTTGTTTCATTTTGGCTTATTTTATGTGTGTGTGTATGCTTGGGATAAGAAACCAGTCCTTGCTAAGAAAACACTCTTACTACTTAGCTACAATCCTAGGCCTTGTTTGTTTGTCTTGATATAGACCCTCACAGGCTGGCTTTCAGGTGTTCATCTTCCTGCCTCAGCCTCCTTAGTGTTGATCTGCATGGGACTACCACCGTGCCTGGCTAGCCTTCATGAATATTGAAACTAATTTTCTTTTTTTTTTGGGGGGGGGGGTCCGGTCGTGGGGCCTGAACTCTTGGGCACTGTCCCTCAGCTCTTCAGCTCAAGGCTAGCGCTCTACCACTTGAGCCACAGCGCCACTTCCGGCTTTTTTCTTTTTGCTTATGTGGTACTGAAGAATTGAACCCAGGGCCTCATGCATGCAAGGCAAGCGCTCTACCACTGAGCCACCTTCCCAGCCCCTGAAACTAATTTTCCGATAATGACTTTTTTCTTTTCTGATACTAGGGCTTGAACTCAGGGCCTTGCATTTTTTTTTTTTTTTTTTTTTGCCAGTCCTGGGGCTTGAACTCAGGCCCTGGACTCTGTCCCTGAGCCTCTCTCAAGGCTAGCACTCTACCACTTGAGCCACAGCATCACTTCTGGCTTTTTCTGTTTATATGGTACTGAGGAATCAAACCCAGGGCTTCATGCATGCTAGACAATCACCAGCCCCAGGGCCTTGCAACGTTGCTTAACTTTTTCACTCAAGGCTAGTGCTCTACTGCTTGATCCAAACTTCCACATCATTTTCTTTCTGGTTCATTGGAGTTAAGAGTCTCATGTGCACTTTTCTGCCCAGGCTGTCTTTGAACCTCAAACTTCAGATCTCAGCCTCCTGAGTAGCTAGGATTACAACCACCAGCCCCCAATGACAATGACTTTGACATTTAAAAAAAAATATATTTGTTTCTGGTGATGGTAATGGGGCTTGAACTCAGGGCCTGAGCACTGTCCCTGAGCTTCTTTTGTTCAAGACTAGCACTCTACCACTTGAGCCACAGCATCACTTCTGGCTTTTTCTGTTTATATAGTACTGAGGAATTGAACCCAGGGCTTCCTGCATGCTAGGCAAGCACTCTACCACTGAGCCACATTCCCAGCCCTACTCTGACTTGCTTATCACAGATACACTATGAATAGGTGAAGCCTCTGGAGTACGTGTCACAAAGGAAGAACATTTTTGTTCCCAGTGGCTTCAACACTGGAAACACCCCCAGTGCAGACATCCAGTAAATAATTGGATGGGGGGGGGGGGGAATCTTGTGTTAAACCTGCATATGTAAATGATTTGTCAAGTCTTTTTGTTTTCTACATTGACCTGAATAATCTGGAACTTGAAAGAAAAAAATCCTTTTAGCCAAGGTTTTCAAACGCAGCACAAATCAAGCACTCATTTGTTCATATGTGCTTACAATGTATTCCTTGTGTTAGAACTGGTAGCACCGTTTCCGGGTCTAGGGAACCCTCCTTGCCTTCTACCCAGCTATATCCAGCTTCATCCCAGCATGCCTGGCACTACCCACCTCCCACCATGTGGGGGTGACTTGGAGGAAGGTGTGGTTAGGACAACATTGGCCCAGAAGTCACATACCTTGGGATGTGTGGCCTTTTGTCCCCTTTGCCTGTCACTGTGTCCGCCTGTGGCCATGGGTGCTTTGTGCTAAGTGCTCCCTCTGTCACTAGGCAAGAGACCCTCTTCCCCTTGCCTGTCCCAGCCTTCCATGTCAAAGGAAGAAAGCATCCTTTCTGGAGAGTTCTTAACCATTGTAAGGAAAAAATAATTTCTATGTATCCTTTATTGTGTGTGTATGTGTGTGTGTGTGTGTGTGTGTGTATTTGGGGCAGTACTGTAGTTGAACTTAGGGGCATGTGTTAGGCACGCTACTACTTGAGCCATACCCTCAGTCCTTTTCTTTAAGTTTACTTTTCTGATAGGGTCTCATGCTTTTTTGCCAAGGTTGGCTTTGAACCATGATCCTCCTACCTCTGCCTCTCAAATAGCTGGAGTTGTAGACTACCACACTCCAGACCTGCTTCATAGTTCTTAACTGGAATTCCTTCTAACAAAAAGAGATATTAACAAGAAAAACACAAGCAGGTTTTTGAGATAAATACCTCATGTATACATGGAAGAAAACTATGAGTAGGTCTCAAAAAAGAAAGCATTTAACCTTCAGGCTTCAATTCCTTTGAAACAAAGAAAGAAGGAATGAGGACTGGAAGTATGACTCAAGTGGAAGAGGACCAATTAGTGC